GCCGAGGAGGACGAGGGGGAGAGTTCAACCGACCAGGTGCGAGTGATCGGTCTCGTCTTGGCCTTTTTAGCAATCGTCGTGCTTGTGGTTCTCCTCTGCGGTATGAAGACCAAGAAAAAAAGCATACCGATGCAAGAGCCTCCGAAACTGGAGCCAGAAGAAGCTCCACCAGCTCCGGAAGATTTGCCCGATGCAGGGATGAAGGTGAAAAAAAAGAAGACCGCCAAATGCAAGAGCTGGATGCGCAGGAGCTGTCGGCCCATCCTGCTCCACAACGAGGCCAGTCTGCGGAAGTACAAGGAGAACGCCGAGAAGGAGGTGGCCGTCCACACCGAACGCACTCAGCGGCAGATCGCCGTGTGGACGAAGGCCAGGGAGCGGGATGCCCAGAAGAAGAGGGACAGGCTCGAACGAAAGGCCTCTAGGATATAACTCTCCAGCTTATTTTCAGATTTTCAAATACATAGTTATCCAATTCAACCATAAAATGAAGTATGAAAGCTCTTTTTGAAACCACAAATAGTTGCATTTTCGCATTAGCATCGGTTTATTTTACTTAGATCACAATTAATATTGCTGTCTTACGAGTTATTGTGTTGCCCAACAACAACTTGGATTATACAAATATCTTAAGCAGCTAGCAAAATACTTGAAATAAACTTAACTTCGAAAAACGTAACACTTTCCACAAAAGATGTGCGTACTAAAATCTGAATTCGCTTTCCAGAACTTTTGCTATTATCGTACACATATAAAAACATTTTTAAGGCAAAATGTGTAAGTCACGTTCTTGATTGCATACAGCGCCTAGTTTAATTTTTGTCTTGTATATATGGTTGTAAATATATGTATTTGTTTTTGTTTTACTATTATATTATTAGTTTTTAGCCATCGAAAAGCAGCGATGATGAAATGTATTAAAAATGTCTTTTTGTTTGGATCTGGTACAAAAGTCGGTTGCCCTTCAAGCATATCATATATCAAGTAATTAATTAGGTTTTGTGTAAATTTTAAAAAAGTTATTCGACAAGCCAAGTGCTCGATATTCAGTAATTGGTTCATTTATTATGTTATTTAGGTATACGTAAGGCTCACTCGTAGTACGATTAATCTGTTGTTGCGAGATCATATTTATCTTTATGTGCGAGTGTGTGCTGGTGTGTAAAATAGATTTATAAAACAAACACTCACTTAATGTAATACAATCAACTAGTTATAACGAATATGCAACTAATAACTATGCCATTTGCTCAGTTAACTTTACAAGTATGTAATCTGCTCTCGTTTAAAGCTACTTCCTCGTTGTGCAAAACATTTCGATAATATGATAGATAACATTTCAAGATGACGTTCAGCAAGTTAGGCCTGCTGCTTGGTCCAAGTTTCCTATGTACAGTCGCTGGCGAGCCTATGTGAGTTTCTTGGCCCATTTGAGATCGTCATCGCGGGGCTTCAAGCCCGTGAAATGCTCGATGATCAGCTCGAATGTTGACCAGAATCTATGGGATAATAAAAGACAATATAAAACTTTTTCTTGGATTTAGGTTCATTCAAACCTGATGCGTTCCAGTGGCCAATTGAGCCATCCGGTGGTGATGCAGAAGTACGTCTCGTGTGGTGCCACATGGTGGATGCGGTGATGCTTGCGCGGCAGGATGATGTGACAGCTCTGGAGTAACAGGACCCACCTCGGCAATCCCCAGTAGGTGTGCGACCACTTGTGTATCTACAAGATACATTTACAGATACAGATCATACAGATAGAGATTGAGTGTAACTGGCGGCTCACCTGATTGGTCATAGCCACGAATATGGAGCAAAGGAACACGTAGGCTATCCAGCCGAAGTGCTGCTGGATCTCACTCGGTGACCGGATGTAGAAATAGTGCGCCAAGTAGCCGAGGATCGGTATGCCCACCATGAAATTGTCGCCGTTTGTCTCGATGAAATCGTGACGCGTTATCGAAGTCGGATCCAGATGATGTTCTCGAAACGGACGCAGAAAATTCTAATCGAAATTTGTTTATAATTAACTCTAAGTTTTCGTTTTCCAAATCATTACTTACCTTGCCAATCATGGGCAAGTCCACGGAGCCCCACGTATCTGCCGCCCAGTGCACCAAGCCGGAGGCAAAGTCAGCCGTGATGATGCCACACAAGGCGGATAGGAAAGCCACACTTATCCTCTCCAGGCGCAAGTGCCTGACAATTAAAGCCAGGTTGATAACCATCAGGCCGATGCAGGTGTACACGCAAATTATTTCCTGTGCACGCTTTCCTGTTTCAAAATAAATTGGATTGTAAAATTGAAAAGAGTTGAAGAACTTCAGTGATCGTATCGAATAAAAAATATATCGGATGTCATAGAAACCATTAACAAATATGTATGCCTTGAAAAGTAATATATCACATATCACATATGAATATATCTCTTCTCAGTTCCAATCACCTTTTTTATAGCATACTTTTTGGAACTCTTTGAAGGGATCTTAAATCTCTAGAGATTTCTGTAGCACGTACGTATATCTTTGGTCTTAATATAAGGGATGCCATAGAAACCATAAAAGAATGTGTATGCATTAATAAGTTAATATATTACATATCATATCAATATATCTCTTCTCAGTTAAGTTTCAATCACCTTTTTTATAGCATACTTTTCGGAACCTTTTTAAGGGATTTCGAATCTCTGGGGACTTCTGTGACACGTACGTATATCTTTCAGCAAAACAGTTGCATTGGTTCCGAGAATAAGCAACCAAACTAAACTGTTAACTAACCAACTGAGGTAACACCGCTGTGGGCGTTGGTTAGCCTGTGGGAAAAGCTCACCTGGACTGTACAACGAGGCCAGTTCCTGGGCGCCCTTATTCTGGGGTCCCCAGCGCGGCGAAGTCGATGCTATGGTCGCCGCAGTAGTTGATGTTGTTATGGCGCCAGTGGTGACCTTTTGGGGCTCCGGCTGCTCCGACTCCTGATCCTTGGTGGTGGCGGGCGCCGAGTTGCCATTGGGGTCATCCTCGTACATGGAGTTGGCCAGAATATCCTTGTCGCTCTTGGCTGTCATCGTCTGCGGATAGAGATGGATAGAGATGGAGGAGCGGAACAAACAACTTGAGGGCCTTGATGACGGCTCCCAACTGATTGGCAATGCAATGCCCGGAATTCAATGTCAGGCCATCGACGATTCGATTCGAGTCGATTCGATTGCCTGTGAATGCCGGCATCTGGATCAATTGTTGGTCGCCTCTACATAATTAACGATTGCGCGGAAAACCAGGTGGGTGGCGTACATTTATAAATGATACATTTAAATTTTAATTTTTCATTTCAACTGTTTTGGAGAAGTTGCGTTAACGAACCGAACCGGTCGCGTAGCTCCGATGACCTCTGGTCAACTGGTCAGGGAACCCCGGCATGTTGCTTTTCTGTTGATGTCATTACCTCCAGCTGCACCGACCACCAACCACCGACTACCTCTCTGAAACCCAAACCCCTTTGCAAACTAGACGGGTCACGCAATATTTTTTGGACTTACGACGGGTCCATGGGGATGGAGAGGCGAGCTCCACCAAACGAGTTGAGTTGTCAGTGGCGGAGGCGCGGTCTAAAGGTGCCTTAATTAGGCAAATTGGTATTTAAATTGCCGAGCGGTGAGCGCTATCACTCTGTTTTATTTTGGGGCAGGTTGGAATACTACGGTGGGCCAGAAGGATTATATTTTTAGCAGCTTATTTGTTTCTTTGTTATTCGGTTCTTTATATTCGATGTGTTAGAACCCGGTGATAAATGGGCTCTAACACGAAAGGTGGGCGGAAAACGGTGTATAACAAACAAAGTCTCATTTGGGATCGGTATAAGTACATTATATTGTTATTGGAGGTAAACAGAAATGTAAACTAATCTTAGGGGATTGCAAACTTGATAAGAATTATCAAGGACAGACCAATCATAAAAAAACGTTTATCGCAAACTGATCATAAAACAATACTTTGAGTTATTCCACCAACTCACATTTAATGTATTTCCCATTTCCACTAATTGCACTAGATTTTTTACCAATTAAGGATACTGAACCCCCCGAAAGCCAATGGGAAATATCGAAAATGTGCCGGCAATTACATTAATTGGTCCTTTTGGAGTCGGAAATATTACACAAATCAACTGATTCGAATGCCCCACAGGCCATCTGTCATTAGGACAAGTTAATGGTGAAAGCACATTAATCAAAACTGGCAACTACCAATTGATAAGGCCCACATGCAAACATATACTCGTATCCACTAATGTTACGCAGGAGACGCGAAGGACACGTTGGCACGAGGAGCCTCAATCTGACGCCCCCGCAAAGGCAAACATTTCCGTGTGACGTTCACCGGGCAGGATAAACAAACGACGGACGGTCAGGAGGACGGAGTGAACACCAGTGGAGCGCTGATTCAAATTTCAAAAATAAATGCGAACTGCCGGAGTTGTGGTCCCCAAATGGGGCTCTTCGGCTGCCGATAGTGGGAGGTGGGTGGTGGGTGGCGAGTGGTAGGAAGAGGAAACCAAAATGAATGCGAGAATGCCGACAACTAAATTCTTTGGCGCCGACTTCAATGTCGCCCACGCCTGCTCTTGATACCCTGCAATCAGGGGATGATCATTATTATCCTAACTACTAACTTATTAAAAAAAAAATAACTAAAAAATAATAATCTTTAAAATATTTATTCTCCTGTTAAAAACAAAATATATTATATCGAACTATAAACTTTTTTAGTTTTGTGACCTACATAAATAGGTAACAACTAACCCATAAATTAGGTCGCTCGAATATAGAGAACTCCTGACTACCAGTAACCCACGTAATTATTGGTTTGTTTTCCGCAAAGGGCATATAAAAAAGGCGTGCAGCCAACAGGTATTAATTTGGTACAACGTAACCACGATTATCCTTGTGGCGCCGCAGGAAAATAACAATTTACTACTTGATATGCGCGAAAAAAGACACTCAAAAATGGAAAAGTTTTTTTTCGTGAGGGAGTGTGAATAAAGGTGTTCTATTCTTTATTCGTGTTTGGTTTTTGGTGACAAAACTATCAGCTTTCGTTCGGCTGCCAACTGCGCTCTCGTTTTTAAATATTTGTTGTAGTTGGCATAGCGGTATTAATAGCACAGTTTGTTTGTTGTGGCGACTTTTTGCAACTGATAAGGAAATTTCAACGCGTCTCTATTTATAAAATCAGCCAAAAATGTCTCTCGTCAAAGCGATTGACTCACCTGCTCGCAGGTGTTATTTTTTGTTTACCAGAAGTTTTCGGTTTTTTTCTTTTAGCAACAATTAAAAGTAAATGACCGTCTGCCAAGTATTGATTAGAACCAAAAAACTTATGCATGCACGCAAGGAATTATAGAGCTTTGACTAACGTTGGAATTACAGCGAACCTGGGCGTCGGCGTCCTCTTTTTTTGTTATTTTTTTATAGTGGCATCCAAAGGTAAATAAATGCCGTGTTTTTTTGTATGCACGTGATTAAAGGCTGCCCCACCGCACACACTCACACACACACGCACACCGCGCACTCTCGCACACACACACACACGCGGGCGCAGGAGGTGCAGTAAAAGTACCGCTACTTTGCACCAGTAAATTCCGAAAGAAACTAAACTAACGCCAAACCCAATCGTACGTCGAAACCAATTTCATTCATGCCCCAATGTCGCAACTGTGTGGGTAGCTGCGGGTGTGTTGGTGTTGGCGCTCACCGTTACGTTGAGGGTTTTAGGACTTTTGGTTTACTTACGGTTTTTCTTTTCGGCGGTTCCAAGCTCCACTATCAACAATACCTTTTGCTTTTGAAGAATAAAAATATTTAATTTTGACAGCTAAGCAAACGCAAATGCTGTTTTGGACTTTTTAAATACCAACCGCCAATGTAGTAGTGAGGGCGTTTGATTTGACCCTTATTTCCCACATCCATAAATTAAAAACAAAATTATTATGTTTTCGGTTACTTCGGGGAATACCCCAATGAGCGATCTTCCATCCCTATATGCATCGCATATCGATATTTTAGTAGCGTTGCCATTGTACACAAATCAGCTGTTCTACCGGCTGCCAACATTTGAAACCCATGCTGGCAACACTGCTGTACGCAAGATAATTTGTTACGTCGTACAAAATTTTGTAAACTCGAACCAAGTTTAGTCAATTAAAATGTTGCCCATCGCACGTGGAGTGTATGTTAGTCTAGCCAATATAACACGCAGCAGTCGTGGGGCCTTTCATACCGCCAGTGGATTCCGTTGCAAGGCGGAGACTTCAACCGAGGAGAAAGAGGCCGAGTCCACCAAAGGCGATGGTGAGGAAAGCTCCAGTGGTTCCGCACACGATCCCAAGGATCGCAGCAAGGTTATCCCCGTGGAAACATCGATGCGCTACTTAAAGAGTGCCGCCTACAAACAAACCTACGGCGACGACTTTGTGTGGACGCAATATCGGTAGGTCGTATGCTAATCTATGATTGATCCGACACTACCAATGTTAAACTCTTTTAGGCGAAACCATAAGGGCATGTATGCACCGAGGAAAACACGCAAGCAGTGCATTCGCCAGAACCGCATCACCACCGGAAATCCCTGTCCCATTTGCCGGGATGAGTACCTGGTGCTGGACTACCGAAACACGGAACTCCTGGAGCAGTTCATCTCGCCACACAGCGGAGATGTGCTCAGTTACTCGAAGACGGGACTGTGCCAGAAAAGCCATCTGCGTCTGATGGTGGCTGTGCAGCAGGCCCGCGATTCCGGATACCTAACATACGACGTGCCTTTCAGGGAGTACGATTACAGCGAGTACTACGGCCAGGAGCAGAAGCAGAAGGCTTAACTTATAACTATGTAAATCTTGCTTGTAAAAAAAAATATTGTTAAAGGAAAAGATGTTGCCTAATGATTAATGGTTGTATTTGCCTTTTTCTAGTCCCTCTAAAGTTTACCAAGCGGTGATCAACGTGAACCTACCATAAATCAACAGACGTTAGTTATGTATCCTAAAAATTGGATAATAAGATTATGGCCTTTATTATTTTGAAAAGAGCAACCTTATTTTAAAATAGGGCATCTTAACGGTATAATTTTTATTGACAGCAATGTTTTGGTTTTCGGAAAAATAATATGATTTACATTTATTTAATGGATATAGGTTTTATTAAAGTCGAGTAAATTTTAAGTAAGAATTTGACAAACCTACGAAAGTTGAATGTTTTCCTTGTTTTCACCCTCAATATCCACCTCCAAAAGTCGCTGATAGGATCGCTGAGCCAGCAGCTGATCGGATTCGTTGAAAACGCGCACATTTTTCGCGCAATTGTTGAAGCTGCAATTGCCAAGCAAATTGTCCTCGAAGAACTGCTGAAGTTCGCTAAATTGCTTCAAAACCAGTACCTTCTCTGTTTTTCCCACTCCCAAGGCGAAACCCTCGGCCATGATACCCACTTTACAGCTGTCAAAGCTGCACTTGCTTCCCTGCAGATTCAGCGAAACTGTCTTCTCCAGCAACTCCATTCCGGTCTTGCAGTTTTTCAACTGTACGTTTCCCAGCTCGGCGCAAGATCTCGGTCGCATTGAAATACCCACGGCAAAGTTCTCGATGAGGCAGCTCTTGAGTTCCACACTGGCCCCCGGCATGCAGACAATTCCCTCCTGGGTGCTGGAGTTACCGTCGCCCAGCAGGCGGCATCCGCGCATCGTCAAGGTGCCGTGGCGCAGCAGAATGCCTCGTCGGACGTGGCGACAATCCAGGACCAGCTGCGACAGGGTGTAGTCTCCATCAATAACCAGCAGAGTGCTGTCCTCATCACTGGAGCCCACCACTGGCAGCTTGGAAAGGTCGAGAGTGGGATTCAGGATCGCTTCCGGTTGGATCAGTCCACTCAAACTGCCGTTGTCGTTAAGGTGTTCCAGGAATTTAATGGTGTGCTCGCCGGGCGAAAGTAGTATGTGGTCGTTGCTCTGGCAGTTGCTCAGCACATCCTGCAGCGTGTTGGCCAACTGTACTTGCGACTCCGCCCTGACCATCGACTTGGCCAGCGTAAGCAGATCCAACTGCTGCTGCAGTTTACCCGGCGCGGTAACGACATGGCTAATTGGTGTCCGTTCCGCCAAGAAATCATCTGCTTGTCGCGTACTACCGAATGAGCTGCGAAGTCGCTTTATGCTGTTCGACTGCAATTCACTGTAGGCCCGCCTCATCTCGGGATTCTCCAGGATCTCGAATTCGCTTTTTATGATGGCCATGCGGAGGTGCAGGCACATTAGATCAGTCACCGGCAGACTAGACGCGTTGAGACTGCTATTGGCACGGCTCGTTTTTGGCTGCTTCCTCGCCGGTTCCGCCGCATTGTCATTTAGTTCCACGGCCTCGTCGTCGCTTTCAGCATCGCTGAGGTCCAGCTCCAGGAAGTCTAGGCGTTGCTGGATGTAACTAGCCTCAGCGAGGAGGGTGCGCATGTGCAGAGCAAGTGGACGGGGCAACCGATTCTTGTTGAGATCGCAAACCAACTGGATGCGAGCCTCCAGATGCTGCTGCACCCAGTCGCGGTCATCGTCGTAGTCCTTGTCCCAGGGCATCCAGATGTGCGTGTAGAAGAACCTCAACCGATCGATGCACTCCGCCGTGGTGTCCACGTTCAGGGCGGAGTTCTCCTGCTGCACCGTGGGCCACAACTCCACTAGGGAAACCTCGTTGCTCTCCGGTAGGTGGACATCGTTGTCCTGCACAGCGGTGACCACAAAGACCGCCTTTAGTTCCTCGAAGATCACCTGCTCCACGTAGCCGTAAACAATTGTGGGATAGCGCAATTTTAAATCCTCACATATGACGCGCGGTATTTTCCAAATCGCCTGCCAACCTTCGGTATGTGTATATATGTGCGAAAATTGCAAAACGCGGTTTTTAATTGGTGAGTCTTTGTTTTTGCACGAGTGTGGGTGGCTTACCTGCAGGCTCTATCTTTAGCTCTACGTAGGATTTCCACTCAGATCTCACCTGAGAGGCGGGCATTACGGCTCCCTCCCACGAGAGGACGTCCTCGGCCTCCTTAAGGCGTTCCAAAAACGATTTCTCAAAGGTAAACACTTCCATTTTCAGCCGCTTTATGTAGATTGAGGGAAGTTATTTTCAGGGCGTTTAAATTTTTTTGAAATGTGTGTGCAGGCTGAAGGCTTCGATAACGATTCAGCGGGCATAGGTATCGCCAGTGCAACCATGCGATAAGGCAACTTAGCTACTTCTTCTGCAAATCTGACTTTAGCCGTTTTATGCAGAGTTAACAACGAAATGAACACGAGGCATATTATTTGTTCAATATAAACAGTTACAAACAAGAAATAATTATTATTTTGTTTATTTAATTTCGTTTTTTTTTTTTTAATTTGAATAAAAAATTGGTGAACAAATTCGCTAAATTTCTAGCTACTTCTATGCTTTTCTGAATGTTGGCTACTTTTGCTATCATAAACTGTCATTACTATTGCAGTATCGATGCCATCATATGTTTTAAGTACTCAGTGGCGGTGTTTTTCGTGTAAACAATATTTATTTGTAAAAATTATTTACAATGGCTTCAAACAACATGCCCGAGGAAAATTTTGAAGGCGGCGATGTAAGAATATTATAAAAAATTAAATTTTTCGTTTGATTAAATCTCAACCCTCTTCTTAGTTTAACTTTGATGACGATGCGGAGGATGACCAGTTTGTGGCCACCAATTCAGGGCGAAAGCGTCTATTTAGCAAGGAGTTGCGTTGCATGATGTTCGGATTTGGCGATGACAAAAATCCCTACACGGAAACCGTGGATTTGCTGGAGGATCTGGTCATAGAATATATTGCCGAGACAACCCACCGAGCAATGGAAATCGGTCGAACAGGTCGCGTGCAAGTGGAAGACATTATCTTTTTGGTGCGCAAGGATGCTCGCAAATACGCCAGAGTTAAGGACCTGCTCACAATGAACGAGGAGCTTAAAAAGGCGCGCAAGGCCTTCGATGAGATTAAATATGTGGGTGAGTATCGTCAATAACAAGCAAAACAACCTCACGATCTGGATGTAATTTATTCTTCAAATTTCTAGGCACCGAGGGCAAGCTCAAATGACAACGGCCCAAAAAAGCCCCGCAAAATCCAGGAACGAGCCAATCCTAGCAGTAAGATCTACAACACAAATTATCGTCTATGTTTAATACTCTAAGCTAGCCCAAAATAAACTAATCAAAATAGTCTTCAATGTCGATATCGGGATTAAGTATATCATCGCCATAGGGCTCCAAATCGATGCCATTCAGGATAAGGTTCTCGCAGGTCTCGGCCAGATCAGAGTTGCCGATCAGTATGGCTCCCCGGAGTCGGCCATTCTGCAGCACAAACTTGATGTACTCCTTGTTGCGAGTGCAACGCACCAGTATTTCGTAGTCTTTGCCCAGATCCTGTCCGTTAAATCGTCCCAGAAGGACGACAGGGTATCCAAACAGCTTGGTTACATGTCCGAACAGCTCGAAGCAGAAGTCTTGGTACACGGTTTCGTTTTCACTGGCTGCTGCCATACTCCTGCCCGCCATGGAGCCCATTTGACGGGCCTGTGTCCACAGACGCATCTGGAACCAGTGCATCGCCGGCGACCAACTGGCCGTGCAGACATCTCCGGCAGCATAGACGTCTTCGAGGTTCGTACGCATCATTTCATCAACGGAAATACCCCCGTCCTCGGAATACTTTAGTGGACTATCACTGGAGTAATCGTGTCGCGGAAGAACTCCCGTGGCGGAAACAATGAAATCACAGTTAAGTTGCTCCGAGCTGCCATCCTCGTGACCCAATTGGATTCGAAGACCGGCTCCGTTGGGTAGTTCCTGGTGCCAGTCTATGTGTGATTTGTAGTAGATCTTCGGTAGGCGTCGATCTCCCGCTCCAGAGGCTCCACTCAAATCAAATGAGCTATGCCAGTCTGGACCCAAAGCAGCTCCCTGTTTGTTGTTTTGCTCCCTTGGCAGCAGTTCACCATAACGCATACGTTTGATAGCCGTTTCTGGGGAGGAGTCCTTTGCATTCACCTCGCTTCTGGCCAACTGAAAGAACTCCGCCGCACCTGGGTCCACAAAGGTAGCTGAGATGTGGGCATCCTTCACCACCCAATGTACATTGACGTCCTTCAGTTCATAGGCGAGTTCACTGGCAATGCCTCCATTTCCCAGAATCAGGACATCCTTGGCTGTCGCCAATTTGCGCTGCAGTTCCACGACGGAATCTGTGTCCCGAATGCCAATGATATGGGGTTCGATTCCCGAGCCGCTGAACAATTTGGGAGCTCCGCCGGTGCAAAGACACAAGTAGCGATACTTGATCACCACACCGTTTTTAGTGCGGATAGAGTGCTCCCTGCTGTTTATGTGATCCAGTTGGTCAACCAGTGTTTCGATTGTCGCTCCCATTTCGGAGACATCCTGCTCCCGCACATCAAACTTGTGTAGATAGCGTGCAACCGGCACCAAATTGGTGACGCTCTTCACGATGCTGGACTCTGTGAGCAGGAGAATAGAGGCAGTAGGTCGGCAGATGGCTAAGGATTCGGCGCAGCTTACGCCAGCGATTCCGCCACCAACCACCAGGAATTCGCACTCGCGCTGCATCCTCTGATGAACAAAATTAAACTAAAATCACGAAATAACGTACATGATTCACTAACGGCCGAATAACCAGCTGATATCAAAACGATACAGTGGAACCTGGTGCTTAAAGATTAATATTACCAAAAATAATTCAATATTCTAAAAGTGGTAAAATAAAAAAGTGGTTATACAGATTTTATTTTTTAATGACAATATTATGTACAATGCATAATAACAACGAATAGTTATGAAATTTGAGAGGTTTTCCTCGATTTTTTTATTCGACTTTTAATTACGCTTACGTTTTCGCGGAAACAAGCAGCTGTTTTTTGTTTACTTTGTGGCCGATAAAAAAAATACCGTAAGACCACTTAAAATACTAAACCGTTTATGGACCCCCTTTGGATGCCTCTGAAATATTTATGGTAGCAGTATCAGCCCAACGCATTCAAAACAAGCGACTTTATTATCAGTTAAGTGCTTGCCCCGGTATATGAAATATAAGGAAGAATGTCCAAGGAGCACTGGATGCGGGATTTGCCCAAGGAGCTGAGGGATCTGTCGATCATTAATTTGGCTATTCCAGGTACGGATGAGATCACCCCATTAATGGAATTAATTAAGGCGTCACACCATTCTAGTATAGGTTCCCACAACTCGATGACATATGGAATTAACAGCAAGTCCAAGCTATCACCAGATGCGGAAACTTCCATTCGGCGCTGGCATCGATTCTTTCCCTGCTTTGTGCGACGATGGAGCAGGACCCAAGCCTGCGGGACCATAGAGCAACTGCAACTGGGAGTGCGATACTTTGATCTGAGAATCGCCCAGAAGGACGATAAATTCTACTACTGCCATGGTCTCTTTGCAATGGAGATCTTTGAGCCGCTCTTGGAGATCCGTCAGTTTCTGGACTCGCATCCCGACGAGTTGGTCATTCTCGATCTCCAGCACTTCTACGACCTGACTGTGGCCCATCACCAGCGGTTGCACAAGGAGCTCATCCAGTTTTTCGGCCAACGGGTGTACTCCACCGCCGATGGTACCCTCAAGGATTGTACATTGAACCGTTGTGCGGAAATCAAACGCCAGTTGGTCATCATTTACCGAAGGTGTCCCATTCCCTTGCCCCTTCGGTTTTGGCCTAGTTTTGCTTGGCCCACTCCGTGGCCAAACAAAGCGAGTGTCAAGCAGCTGCAATCCTTCTTGGAGGACTCGCTACTGTCGAGGCAACCCCAGCAGGGATATGTCTCCCAGTGCCTTATTACGCCCACTGGTCGCTACATTGCCTTCCGGTTCTTCTTCACCCTAAAAAGCACTGCCAAACGGGTGGACAAGAAGTTGCAGCCCTGGATTAAGGAGCAGATTCCCGGGCCCTTTGAGCCTAAGGAGGAGCCGAAAGTAAACGTTTTCCTTGCCGATTTTGTGGACCTCAAGGATGGCCAGTTTTGCGATTGGGTGTTGGAGCTAAACAATAAATTAGAGGAACGATTGGCTGAGAATCCGAGACAGGAATATATTGAGAATGGGGATTGATAGTGCATATTATCCTGCATAAGGTAATGCGGAAACAATCCGCGCCACTTTGATTTTGATACCTAATTGTTATAAAAAACGTGATAAGCTTTTGTGTAACCAGGACAATTCCTTTTTTTAAGCCTTTCAGTGCTATTTATTAATGAGCAAATATGTACAAACTCGTTTCAAAATTAAGTTTCTCAAAACTCGATTGACCTAAAAAGATAGGTTATTGATTTGATAAAATGATTATATTGATTTTTTTAACGAAATAAGTCGCTCAAATTATTGTCTGTGAAATGTATTATTACGCAAGCTGTTTCCGATTGTTGGTGCTATTAATATTTTATTTTTAAAAACCAATATACAAAAATATATATACAGTCGACTCTCGTTAATTCGAAACTCGAGGGACTCTTGAAATATTTCGAATTATCGAGTGTTTGAAATATCAAATGGTTCGAAATTTCGAAATTTTCGAAAGAACTTTGTTATACTGGCTTGCTTTAAAGCACAATTCTGCTGCTCACACTGCTCAATAACTTTTTTAAGAGAAAAAGTGCATGAAATACTTTTTCATCACTTTCGTTTTGTAGACATAAGCTTTGTAAGGTATCAAATGAGGATCTTGCTTCCTTAACTGACACCTCTGCCAAAGGTTCTTTATACTTTCTAGGTCTCATAGCTAACACCAACTTTTAATATGCATACCAACGAGTAGCAACAAGTAACAGTAACTGAATAACTACACAAACCAATTCGTAAGAAGTGTGTGCGTCAAAAACTACATAATCAAAACAAAAACAAAGGCAAGTTTGAACTTGTCGCAAAATTTTTCTCTGCAACTTTGAATTGTCGAGTGTTAGACGCTGATGAGTTCGAATTAACGCGTGGTTTTGTTAAATATCAATGATTTTTTCGTTCGAATTACCAAGTGTATGAAAATGTATTGATTTAGTTCGAAATATAAAGAGATTTCGTAGGGACCTCGTGATAACTTTGAATTATAGAGAGGTTCGAATTATCGCAGGTTTGAATTAACGAGAGTCGACTGTATATTTAAAAACATAAAAACAAACACAAAGCACATTGCAGCATAGAATCTAGTCCAAGGTGCGAACTAATCGCGTTGTCAATCGATAAGAAAGCGCACAGCCTTCTGTGTTTTCGTCGGCGAGGTGGAACTCGCGGCGACCTCCGCTCGGACCAACGAACTTTGCATCCCGTTGAGCATGGTTTCAAGCCGGACTAGGTGCTCCTGCAGGCTGACGGCCAGGACACCGCTGTCCTGCTGGTTCTCCCGCTCGAGCAGAGCGGCCTCGCAGTGCCGTTGCATCCGCTGTGCGGAGTGCTGCATCATCTGCAGCTCCTGACGAACGAGCGCCGTGAAGCTTCTTTGGCTGCCTGGCGTCTCCTCGGGATCGTAGGTCAGCAGGCGTTTGGTGTACTGCACCAGTTGGCTTCCCGGCGACGGTGTGGATGTCTGCCTGGGGGAATTGCTGGCACTGGAAACGTTGAGCAGCCTCTTCAGCGGCTTGTTCAATAGCACATCCTTCATGGCACTCAAATTCAAGGCAATGCGACTGGAGTTGTGTGTGTCGCTCAGGGTTTCGTTGAGATCCGCATCCAGTGGCTCCCAATCGACCTCGACACTCTGGAAAATGGTCCGTGCATTCAGCTTGACCTGCTGCTCTGTACTGTCCCTGACCAAGTCAAGCCACACTCCCAACCTGGCAGTTGGCCACTCGGCCTTCAAGCCGCGTTGCTTGTCCAGGATCACGATGACCGTTCGCAGCAGTCCAAATTCGTCCGGGGATTGGGTTTGCCTGAACTCCAATGGCAGGTCCAGCTGACGACAGTGCTGGGTGGCCTCCTTCACCATCAGCTGCGTCTTGTGCAGACTCTCCTCCGAGGGATTGAGCATGATGCGCTGGATGTCCTCCAGAATCGTGGATTTGTGGGCGGGCGTCGACGCGGCATCCTGCTCCCTGAGCGGAGTGTGCTCCTGCTGCTGGGCCAAGGCCTTGCGCTCCGTCTCGAGCATCTCGCTGTTGCACTTGTACTTGAACTGCTCCAGTTCGAGGCACTGCAGCCGCTCCTCAAAGTCGCGCGCATGCTGAGCTCGCTCCTGTTCGATTCGCGTGAGAGCTGCCCGCTTCTCCGCCTCCAGCTCGGATCGCAGTTGCTGCTCCTGCTTCTGCAGGATCTCCTGGTGGGCCAGCTGGAAGTCCACCGGGCGATCGGACTTGCCTCTTTGCGGGCAAAAGGGATTGGAGATGCGGAAATAGTGCGAACCACCAATGACAAGTCGGTCACCGTGGAACAGCTGTCGACGATCCTCCACGAGCTCCCCGTTCACATAGGTTTCAAAGTCCTCGCTCCCAGGGATTACGAATAGCTTGCCACCACGCTCGTGCTCGATGGTGCAGTGCTGCAGGGCGACCAGCGGACCGTCCAGGACAATATCCGGTTGGGAACTGGCACCACCGCCTGGCAGGCGACCTCGACCAATGCGAACGACTCCTTGCGGCAGCAGATAAAACAGAGTGCCACTCAATATGGGATCCGCGGTGAGATTGACCAAACAGGCCTGTTTCTGCTCGGCAGTTAGCTCCAAAGCCAAGCCACGTCGTTTCAGGACACGCAGCTCGGACTTTCGCTGATCCTCCGCCTCCTTGAGCTTCTCCATCCACGATTTCTGCGCACGACTCAACTCCCTCTCCCTCTCGGCCAGTTGCTGACGCAGTGCCTCCACCTCTGTCTCATCCACGGAGGTCTCGATGATGATCTTGCGTGGCACCGGATTGTTACTGTTGCCGGATAAACGCCTCTGGCGTTCGTACTCGTTCCTCAGCGACTTCAGGCGATCCACTTCTGCCCGCAGATCCCTGATGATCTTGTCGTGCGGCGACTCGTTCACCTTCACCCGGTTGACAATGGAACGCGCCTTGCAGGCGTACCGCAAGGTAGCCAGGGTTTCATCCACATGCAGACTGGCCGGCGATATGGTGGCCAACATTACCGTCTTCGAGTTTCCGCCGAGATTTTCCTGGACAAAAGAGAAAGCAAACGATATATTAAGACCTCTGGAATGCATATTGGGAACGGGTGAGTAATTGCTTTGTTTTGATGCTAATCTCTAGGGTAAATCAAGTTAATAATTGGTAATTGGCAAGTTCAATAAGCCAATGATTTTCCCGCTTTTTGCTTACTTAGTATTGCCAATATGTATGTAAATCATTTGTAAGTCAATATGGTGAATACATTTTTACAATTTACGATACAAAAACAAAGAAAACAAAAACTATAAATTATTCATATAGGTAAATTTAGAAAGTATCGGTAAAAATATTGTATGTATTATGGGTTTTTAAATTAATAAAGCCAAAGAATTTTTGTATAGTAACTCATACAATCTTCATGGATTGTTATTAAAAATGGTCCATTTAAATCTCTTGTGATAAGCTTGATTTAATATGATGGTCGTATAAATCAAAATTAATAGAATTTCCAATAAATATACTTTTGAACTTTCTTATCAGGTGGTCGCCATTCAAGTTATTCTTTATGATGTCAGAAAATGTTTTTTTGTAAAACATTTTCTAAGAACCAGTACACTCCTTTGTGCGAAGGGCATTGCGATTAACACATTAGGCCCATGGTGACTGCAAACACTACAAAAGCACTTTCAACAGATGCGTGAAAATCTGAAGGAATGGAAAATAGACAATCGAAACCTTCGAGTGTGTGTTTTTGATTGTGGACTTGACGAGATAAGGACGGGGAAAATGATAAGGCTCCGCCCATCTGTTTGCGTAAAACTACCGTGACAAAGGCACCTACTGATGATCATTATCAGCCACGTTATCAGAAACTGCAAGACAAGTTGTTGTGCCAACAAAATACTTTTGCATGCATTTACACAGGAAAAAAAATATTTGAGATTTTGAACAATATTTAATTAAAATAAAGTTACGCCAGGCAAGACATTTAATTTGGGCAATTGGTAGCCAATTTCTATTTTTTATTAAAGAAAAATCAAATTATTTATCATTTTGAGCTGTGTACTATGTACATATGTAATCAACTATAGGTTTGTATTAGCTATTTAGTACACATTCTTGGCAGTGTGCGTACTAGTAAATGACACTTGTTTGATTAAGCAGGTCAGCACCGTGGGCAAAACAAGGGGGAAATCGGAAAGGGGACGCTTGATTACACAAACTGCGCAGCAGCAGCGGCGTAGGCGTGCACAGTGGTCAAAATTGGTTATAAGCTCCATGAAAATAAATACCCCAGCTAAAGGCGACCTTAAGGGGCCGGTCGTGGTCGTCTGATCGTCTGAAACTTGGTCCATAAACCGCAAATGGAATCAATCAATGAAGGCAATGACTGCTATTAGTCATTTAGGTACCAAAGCGTACCATATAAAAGCATTTTTGACTAAATTTAGCTTCTGAACACCCTCCCACCTTTAGAAATCAGTCACGATCTCCCATTTTTAACCAAAATCGCGTGTATCAAACTAAAACCACAGAAAGCCGCTAATAATGGCGGTGCGTTTTATAAACAAAAACAACCAAAACCTTGATCAGAACCGGATAAGATGACGTAGACTACTTATTAACACTAGGTTTACGCAAATTTACGAAAATGCACGAGAACGCTTAACCTCTAGGCAAATTAAGAAAATGCAGCTTGCGGTTTTACATGTTTTGTGCGAATTTTAATACCCATAGGGTGCAAGACCAAAATGTTGTCCCCTATAAAAATTAATAAATTAGAAACTCATATTTAGCAACTCATATAAAACACCACCTGGCAACAAAATTTCTTTCAATAAATGAGGCTAAAACGGCGCATGGTCGACCTGCAGTCTAGACCGCTATTAGCAGACCTCGTAAAAATATTTCCATCCAATCCTCCAGATGATCAGCCGGTGAACATTCGTCGGATCACACTCCACACTACTGTTTTCGTCATCTTTTTCGGTATTAGCAATTAGTCGCTAATAAGAAAAACTTCCAAGAGTATTTTTCAAGCCCCCCCGTTAATTATCATTTATTAAAAATTTTCAAACTAACTGAGAGTGAATCATTTGGAAAATTATTGTCAGCCAGGACTGATTTTGGTTGGTGTGACCCACTGTGCCTCATGTGAGAGCTGTAAGCACTGCGGGAGCACTCGATGGGGAGGGATCGGGTGGAAGGTGAAGCGTCAACAAAAGCACGAGACGCGAAAACACAACAAGGGACAACATTCATACGTGTATATAAACAGGCACACATATTTTCCAACACCAGGGGGCATAACAGCAGAGCTAAGCTACCAAATAAATAAAATAAGTAACCTTAAAAACTAAAGAAAAAAAATGTTAGAGTGAAAAAAGTGGTCGACATGGTTTTAAAATCTTTAATCGGATTGAAACACTTTTACAGATTTTTGGAAAAAAAAAACAATTTACTTAACATTATTAACCATTTGATTTGGTTCTATGTTCTTAAATTATCCAAAATGCTGCCCCCGACTGTCCCCACACATTCACACAACGGCAGTTAATATAGTGGGGGCTGAGACCCGAAGTCGACAGCAAAACAAGAGCCGAAGCAGTCGGCATCGCACGAGGGCTACAAAAATGCAGTAATTTCAGCGTTCGGCTTTCAGTTTCCAGAGAGACTTCCAACAGAGTACATCGAATTTCGGTGAAAGTAGAAGGAAAACCCACTGCATTAAGATACCAGATATCGATACCTTGACTTGGTATTCCACGCAAAAGTGCATAAAAAAATACAAACGCGTTTACTCAGAAAAACAAAGAAGCAAAGTGATTCAAATCGAGTTCATTGGACGCCCGAGAGAGACGACAAAGTGAAACGACCTCGCACAACACGCGCTAAAAAAAAAAAAAAGAGAAAAACACACCCACATCCCACTGCAAAGCTTCTAAGGCGAAAAAAAAATACCTACAGACATGGATGTTTGGGGATTTTGCGTTAGCGATACTACGATGGCATATGGCGGGTCCATGCGAAGCGGATATTACAGGGACTACGAGCAGTTCCCCTACGGAACCCTCGAGACCACGTCCTCTCCACACGCGGTCAAGGATTGCTACAGTCGAGTGCAAGGTAAACTTTTGTTCGGAATCGGGGAAGCCTCCCCAAAAAGGGAGATAACTTATACATAGCTATATCAGTTAGCTTTCAGTCGCAGTCCCCAATGCACTGAGCAAAAAAAAAAAAAACAGAAGAGATAAACAGCATGTTGGTGTTGGTGGACTGCGTGTGTTGCTTGTTGTTTTTGCAAGAGTTTATAAATAGCCAGCCTGATTTCTTGGCCACATGTGTGTGTGTTTGTGTGTGTGGAGAACACGCCTTAATTTTTTGCGCACAAACACAGGGTGTCCAGAGTTTCTCGGTGCAACTTGCCTTATCAACACACCAACCCCCCTTTCATGATTTTTTTGTTTATATTTACGGTTTAAATCCACGTGCTGTAAGATATTGGCGCTTAATTGCATAAAGCAGCAGTAAAAAGCAAGGTTCAGTTAAAAATTTCCGGCACTTCAAAGTTAAAGCGCAATTAAGATACATAGGTATTCAAAAAGGTATATCGTGGAAAATCGTAAATGGCAACAAAAGATAAACATTCGCTTTGTGGCTATTTTAAAAGGTGATTAAACTCGGTCTTATGGAGGTCAGTTGAGTCCATTAAAGACAGTCTTCACTCCAACGACTTTAACGATAATTAAATCAACTCGCATTAAGAATTGACTGTACCTCCAGAATTGGCTCACAAAAGTTGAGCAGGTGGTCGGACAATGGATTCTTTTTGGGGAAAGACAAACAAAGCACGGCTTCATTGTGTTTGTGTGCCAAAATTAAAGCGCAATAACAAAACCGAGGTGTGCGAAAGGTAAACCCTTATTGTTGTTTATATCCGCACAGTATAATGACTAACTATGCATTATCATCTGCACAGAAAAAAAAAATACAATCAGAAACCAAATGATAAATTTTTTATTATGGAAGTGCTCTGTAAAGTGCTCTTTATACTTTTGCATTCCACCTTTTCCTTTCTTGACAAAAAAAGATTTTGTTTTGACAAAACAACATTTTTTCTGTGTGTGGTACTTTAATAGATTATGCAAGGTCGCTTATCAGTGGCTATGAATAGAATCTTTCCACATAAATCGGCTGGGCTTTAATCAATAATAACCGTTTAACATTTAACATGGTCAATTGAGCAATCAACGCAATAGTTTAATCAAAAGGGGACAGGTACAGCTCTTCTTAAAATAGTACAACAAATTGTTTAAAAACAAGAAAACCATCAATCATTATTAAATCTTGTCCTATTACAATGTAAATAAGAATAGTTGTTCCTCATAGTGAGCATTAGTACATATTATTTTGAATACAGCTGTTTGTGTCACGGGGTCAGCCATCAGTTAACGGAAAAAAAGGGGAGCTGGGGAGATCAATGATGTTGACGTGACGTCGTGAACGTAAACCGACGTCACGTAGTCAAAATCAGCTGTTTGACGGCCCAGAAGGGCGTTCAAGTGGCACGTAGGCCAAAAAAGTAGAGGAAGCGAAGATGACGGGTGGAAAAAAACACAGACGAGGGAAAACGAAGAGTGCGACCTTCACTAACCGGTGACCTATCCCATTTGCCCATTTTCAGAAAAATGCAAGCAGATAAAGACCGAGAAGCAGATGCGCAAGGACTGTCCTTTCTGCAAGGAGCACAAGAAGCGGCCGCTAATCAACTACATGCGCAAGCGGGAGCAGCGCAAGCACCATGACAGCATTTGCGAGGACGAGGAGGACATGCACGAGCACGAGTTGGAGCACGCCCACAATCACAGCCACGAGGTGGTGTCCTCCGTCCTTGCCGCCCCACAAAGCTGCAAGGTGTGAGTGGAAGCGGAACGATTCCTCCACAGACACTCGGAAAATGCCATATAAACATAAAAAATATATACTATATAACCAGAAGAAAGGAAAATCATGAAAAAGTAACAACAAAAACAAAAGGAGAAAAGAGAAAAAGCTGTTAAAGACGAAGGTTGCGAAAGCGAGAGAGAGAGAGATTGAGCGAGACAGCATCTGCAGCTACAATAATCCAAGGCAACTGTACATCTTTTTTGAATGGTTGCCCGAGCATTTCCGCGTCGCGAATACACTACCATTTACAAGAAAGCAAGAAGAACTTGATACCAATTTACAACTCCCTTCAACTAATATCTACCATTTCGTTTTTACACCAACTTCGCTGTTATTTACAACTCTAAAAATAGTAATTTGTTTACCAACGAACAGCAGCGCACGATGGAAAAACATATAACAAAAACCTGCCCCGCTTGACCAACGCATTTTTTGACCTTAAGTAAACCAGAAAGTCGTGAAAAAACAACTAAAAAAAATAGAGAGCATATATAAAAACACAACAAGGGAAGCAAAAATAGCAGAAAAACTGAATTTTCTATTTTGCATACGAGACTGAGTAAATTGCAGTAGAAAATGTTTTGTTATTTTGACCTAATTGGATAAGTTACAGGTACTAAAAAATAATGAAAACTGCAAAAGAAAATGCTTCATTGGCGCCAATTAAGGTTTATGATTATTATTTTTTTCGATATATGTGTAGCTACGTATACTTTTGACCCCGATTTTTATTGTATCCTTGTCTATATTAGACATTCCCTTATATTTATTGTAATACCAACTGAACTTTGCACAGTCCGAGCAAGTGTCAAAAATTAATATTTGTTAAAGTTAAAGGTGTTTCAAAAGAGTTTATGCCAAGTTACATTTTGTTAACACTACTTAATAATAAAGAAAAAATTGAAAATATTAATAGGTTATGTGCGTTTTAAGCTCAACTGTGCAAAAATAAAGACGGAAATAAAATAAAAACGATTTAACAATTGTATTAGCCATTTAAGAATTGATCAAAAATGTATTGATTTGTAAAAGAAATTTGCTTGCAGGTACCGAGAAAATTTTCAATTTATACAATGTTATGTATCATATATATTATATATTAATGTTTAATTTAAATTATAAAGAAATCAATAAAACACAAATTATGAAAATATAAATCTTTGACTATGTTTTCTTTTACTTAACATTACAGTTTTCTAATCTCGAATAAACCTTTTCGTGGAAAACTAACTTAAACAATCCATCCACTAAAATTTCTATTTAGTGGCAGACCAGTTTTAATTTCTTTGAGGTTGGTCAGTTTAAAGCACCGGCTAAAACTGGTTCAGTTTTCTAAAAAAATTCCTAAACTTTTTATTCAAATTTTTACGGAAATCTTTCCGTCTCGCACCAGTTTACTAATTGAAGTTAATATGCCTTTTTTGGACTAATCGGAAAGTTCCCCAGGTTGAATAAAAATAAAATGGTAAATTAGGTAAATACTTGATGGCTAAGGTCAGTTTTTAGGAGATTACCCTGGGAACTGAATCTGACCCAGAAAAAAGCGCCTCAAACCTGAGTAAACCGACCTGGAACTTGACCATGCGATAACAATGATTTCCTAGATCTCTCAGTCGAGCAATCAAAGTTCGTTCAAACATAACCTTACTTCAATTATATCCCACTCAACGAAACTGAATTGAATTAGGGCAATGAACATTTGACACGCGTAGATGAGATCAGCCAGTGTTTTAATCATAAAATTCAAGAACACCAGCGAATCAGAAGTAAATTGCTCCCGGTTTCCCGACTCTGGTGATCAAATTGTGAACTGCCCCACACGGAATTTACAAATATATATTTATATTTACGTATACGAATAAGTATTCATAGGTATGTGCAGTGGGGTGCACGGGGATTTGAGAAAAAAACTCATGGCTGGAAGCCATATATTCAGTTGTTTATACAGTAAATTCGAATCATTTGGTATTCAATGTTAACCACTTTCGAGGGGGAATAGAACTGGGGAGTGAATGAGCGAGATATTTATTATAAGCTAGCTTAAATTACAATTGTTGTTTTGTGGGAAACTGGAAGCAAGACCACACGTTTTCTATTATATAACAAAAAAGCGCTTAAATAGGTAAGAATATTGGAGTTAACTTTTGTTTTTCCATATGCATCTTGATCTTGATGATGTATTTTTATTTAAATCCATATCAATATTACTATTTAAATCGCACCTGACCTACCTTCATTGCAATATTATGAGTTTTGTTCAATTAGCAACCGAAATAAGAGCAAAGCCTTTCTGACTTTATTTTTATTTCATGACTTTGGCTCCCTGTAAATGTCACATTGTACTGACTCGGTTTATTAGCGTTAATTTGCCAACTACAAACGTGGCTTATTTGAAAATTCAAAACACCGCGACGCCTTAACTGTTACTAATTATGAAAATAATAAAATGACGTTGTATCCAGTGGCACGCGTTTTATATTAGACACGTATTGATTGTGGCGAATCAACGGAATTCCAAATGGCGTGAACCGTATTCTATTGGCACGCAAGTCGATGTTTCTGGATAATATTCAAAAAAAAAAAACACACTTCCACTCATAATCTAGACAATTTTTGTGGCTAACCGAAGCGGGTTCGAGAACTGTTGATTAAAAATTCAATGCGGTTTCTAGGGGCTTTGCACACGAATAACTTTGTTCAGAATTCATTTAGAAAGCTTGCTAGGGGCTCGACATTTGCAGTTCCAAAGTTTCTTCAGCCATGTGAAGGTCATATAAAGTTACAAAATAAAAAATTAAAAAGGATCAAAAATATTATTTTCAAAGAAAACCACTTTTAAAATGTTAAAAAAACTGTTGAAAAAACTGAAAACTTCCACGGGAGTAAATAAGCAAGGTTAATTCTGAATTAAGCTAAATAAACTTTAACTAACTCTTCCACATTTTAAACAAACAAATAACAGCAAATTATATTTAACAAAATGTATCAGTATACAAAATACTCTTAGTGTCTTATTGTTTTCCCAATTTTAATAATGACATAATGACAGGTAACGCAAATTATAAGTAAAACGTAGTCAGTACAATATTTTTGCTTTAAACTTTTATTTTTTTTGTTCCTCAAATAATTAATAGACGTGGAAACCGAAGTGAAAACCCTATTATTATTTTTATGTGCATACATTAACCAAAGGTCAATTATAATTAGCTTGTTTTAGTTGATATAAGAACTAGTTTACTATTGGGCTTTGAAAAATGTTAGTATTAACCATTCTTGCTTATTAAAAACTAGTTGTATGATCATACTTTGTTTATGAGTAAAGATTTGTATAGATTACTTAACCTTTTGTTAATTTACGACATTTACGCTCGCTGCATTTGTGAGCACTTTGTAAATTTGCAGTTGCCACCTAAGCGCTATATTTATCAATTATTCATATTGTGTGTAAATTGTTATTGCAGCTTTAAAGGATGGAAAAAAGTTAAGCAAGGGCACTTGCAAATGCGAGCCAACGGCCTGTAAATGCGGAAAAAGACGCCAGCGACAGCAGCAATTGAAATTGTTGGTGTCGCAACTTAGGAGACGCGATAACTTATCAAGTGTTATATTCTTTTAGTACCAGAGTACACCAAGGAAAAATAAAAACAATGAAAAACCACTTTATCTTAGAGTATTTTTAAATCGGTTGGGCGGCAAAAAGAAATCTACATGGCACTTGTGTTTATTATGCAGAGATAGGAAAAGTACTTTAAAGATAGTCGGTCATAGAAACGATGGAAAGGGAAAAATATTATAGGAGATTAGCATAGACAAGGTCTTCAGTTGCCCAACAATGTTTTCTTTTTAAATTCGTAAGGATCCCAAAAACTTCCTATTGACTTTGTTACGATATCATTTTGGTACGACGCCATTTCAGCAATTATTTGTCATCAAATTTTATGGCCGAGTTCGTAAATTGAAGATGAACATGTGAGGGATTCTCTAGGGCGAACTACCGTAACTCAAATTAAAGTGGCTACACAATAAACAACACTTAGTGGAACGGGTTTCGGGAAAAAAGACAAGTGGTTAGACTTTGTAACAATCAAGAGCCTTTTACCCTGGCGCCCTGTAATTACTCATAGTCTATCGACAGTGATTATAAATTACGTCGTAAATTGGTAAGTGCACCTTTTTTTAGACTTATTATATAAATAGCTTAACTAAACTTGAATCAGTTCAATGATTAAGATATTGCTAAAGTGGTAAAGCTTGTGATTTTCCTTGAAGAGCAGTTGTTAACTCTAAGTATTCACATAAGTACGAAGCATGTGATATACTATAGAAATCTCAATGCCATTACTCAATACAAACAATAAGTTGACATCGTGAAACAAACAGGTAACTATTACAAATTGTTAATAGTTTGGGTAAATGAAAAAGAAAAATATGGAATCCCATTTGTAATCTAGTCTCGTGACAATTTTACAATAATTTAATTACATCACACTTTTTCAAAGGTTTTTACTATGTAATCTAATTTATGACTTTAATTACAAAGGTTACCTTATCGTTGTGATAAAAAACTCTTCATTACTTATATTCTGGATGTTTCCCAAAATATAACAACCAAGTTGTTTTGGGTCGGTAAACTCATCAAGATAAATAAAGACTTTCCTATCTTTTATTTTATTTTTCTTGACTTTTTTCTAGAACACTTACACAAAGGCACGTGTATCAGTTAATACATTGTATAAGCAAATTAAAAAGGCAAAATAAAAGTCTTAAGAGATATGATAAGAAGCCAAGGCTTTAATCACACCATTGATTGAGGCGCGGGGAGGTCTTTGATTTAAATTTAAGGCCACGATAAAAAGCTTTACTATCGAAAAAGATAAGGAAATAATAAATAGAAAACTTGGTTTATGTATTTAAGTCAATAAATAGGCAGACAAATGATATCTTGTTGATGTTTAAAAATAAAAAAGCAATCAAAAAAATCTCATCTTTTATCCTGATAAGCTAACTCTAATCTCCAGCTGATGTTTTTTTGCAGTAAGTAATTAGCATACAATTTAAACATTCTATCATAAAAACGACTTCGCGTGTCTGGAAAGAAGGGGCGACGACACATCATCACGAGATCAAATAATTATAGACAAACGGAGGCATAGAAACAAAGAGTTTGTGGAAACCTAGAATTCATATTTGCCCAACATGGTTTATGATTATGTAAACGTTTCCCTGTTTAAAATTTTCGTGGCTATTTTCCACAGAGGTCAACGTGTTATTTGCATTCCCAGTGCAGTTCTGGGTTCTGATTGCTTTCCGGGTAATTACTGATTGTGCGGAGACCTCATTCCGTGGGCCAGTGGCTAATCAAAGCGAAAGTGTTGATAGCCGACCCGTTGGAGCTGGTAAAACTACGGAAAATATCGCTATGGAATATCGCAAAGATATAGGTGCTTATAAATATATTTTAAATATTCACAACAATGCTGAGTTCCTTCTTATGCCTGCCTTAATACCATCCTGAATTTATCAATATTATTAAAAAAGAAAATTAATTATTGTTCTCTAGTCCTTGGTTTTTAATTAAAAATGTTTTTCGACAGTCAGGAGGAAGAGAATGAATTATCAGCAGTGGTAAGTAGAGCGTTCCGCTGACCCAGTTGATTAGTACAAAAACAGTTAATAGCGATTTCTCAACACTCACCCTCAGAAGCCAGGTGAGCACACTCTCCCGATAAGGGACAAAGGTGCTGGGTGTTCCGGATCCCAGCGGACCATTCCCGCTTGCCTTGCGCGAATCGGCGAGGGCAGCGATGACTTTTCCCAGCGTCAGCAGGCTCTTGTTTATGCTAACGCCCTCGCGAATCCTTTCGCCATTCGATCCCGAAACGCTGATCCTTTCGCTGCCCGCCAGATCAACCAAACTGATCTTGCTGCGGCGCGTCTGCCGGAGCGAGTTAACCGTTCCCGAATCCGTATCGGAGGACAAGCCATCATCGCTGCTCAGATCGGTGAGATTGAGGACGATATTGAAAATGGAGTGCGATCGCGAGCTCTTGTCGTTCATCGCCGTTGAGGCGGTGGCCCGTTGGGAGTTGCCCACGGCCAACCAGTTGCGGAGGGCCGAGTAAGAGTCCACCGAATGGGCACTCAGATCCACGACATAGGGTCCAAAGATGGGATGCTCGCGCACCTTCAAAGCCGGTCGCTGTTGCGGCTGATTCTGTTGCACAGGCGTGGATTCCCCAGATGCAGCGGCCGCATGCTGGACACTCAGCAAGTCGTGGATCTTCTCGTTGTAGATCTCAAAGTAGCTGACCTCCACCTCGACCTGCAGCTGCTCCTTCGCTTTCACAGCTTCTATGCGGCGGAACAGCTCGTGGCAGAAGCGGGGAATAATTCCCGCCTCATCGTGCGGCGGTCCACCATCGAGTGCGGCATCGTCCAGAGCCTCAATGCCCATCATGCTGTAGGACTTGCCCGAGCCCGTCTGCCCGTAGGCAAACAAACAGGCATTGTAGCCCTCGAAGGCTGTGTCGATCAGTGGACGTGCCGTTCCATCGAAAACTTTCGCCTGGCAGGCGAAGTTTCTCCTTTCCGGATCGCAGGAGTAGTACACCTGGTCGTAACTGAAAAAGTGCGTGACTCCAGCCGAGGAATCGGCTGAGGAACCAGCCTGGACCGTCAATTCGTTGCTGTTTCCGTGGACCTGAACTACATTGGTGACCTGACCACGTGTGCATTCCAGGGCGTTAAGTGGACGCACACGCACCGCCACTATCATGTTGCTCTCCTCGGACACGCTCAGGCAGGAGTCCATCAGCGAGTCCCGATCCTTGGGCCTGCTGCAGCTGGATTTTCCGGTGGCGGGAGTCTTTGATCTCCCCGGTGTGTTTGTATTCCTGTAGAGCGACGAGGGTGTATAGCAGGCATTGAGGGCCGTGGGCTTGGGTTTCGGGGTTGGTGTGCTACCACTGAAAGCCGTATTTAAAAGTTGATCGGGGCGATCTCGATCACGATCCTCCGTCCGCGTCATCAGAACCTTCTTGCGCAGTCCTTTAATCTCCGACGCCGGCGTCGATTTGTGGGAACCCCGCGTCTGGAACTGCTGGATGCGCTGGCGAACTGGCGTGCTCTTGTTGCTCATCTTTCTCGGGATAATTTATTCTTTTTTCTCAGTTTTAAACAAAAGTGGCTAGTATTTTCGAATTATTGCGCGGCGTCGTTTGTTGTTTTTTCAATCTAGTGATGGGAGTCAGGCGATAAAAAAAACTGGGTTGAGGAGCTAGAGATGAGGTGAAACTCAGTCAACGGTCACTTTAAAAATATCGTTATATTGTGCAAATCACATTTCGATATATATTTTTTTAAATCTCATGTTATACACTGAAACCTTTATATATTTTGTGTTGAACGTTATGTATTATGTTATTTGTTTCGGGTTTCCTTTTAAAACTTTTCCTAATAGACTAATTTTCTTACAGGTACCACAGCTGGTTTCTCAACTGAAGTCACTGAGAACAGTCACTATAATTGAAACGTGCTTATCTCTCTTCGATAACCGATAGCGCCGCCTTGTTATCGTGAGCAGCTGTTGACGAGCAACGTAGGCAAAAGTAAATATTATTAAAAAACTGCGTAGCAAATAAAGGTGAGCCGAATTGTTTACTTATCAAGCATTTACCACCATTTTCGAATGTCTTTCTTTACAGCTTGGAATATTCGAATACAAAATACTGACTAGAGATTACCAGAGATTAGCCACCGCAAATCAGCTGCAAAAAGGCAGATTTTAAAAGTTCAGAGTAAACTAGTTCCAAACGTGTTGTGATTTCACAGTAGCCGCATTTGTGGCTTATAGTTTCCTTGTTCTCCCAATCCAATACCATATAAATAAGCGCGAGTCAAAAGCAGGTTTTGCATTCATTGTAAAACAGTGCTAAGGCGTGCACCCGATTAACCAAGGAATTAAACGTTGAGGAGTTATAGTATAAATCGGAATTAGAATGTCGCAGCAACCTGTTGCCTTTTTAACCCGTCGCGAAACTTTCAGCGCCTGCCATCGTCTTCATAGGTAATTAACTTGAATCAAATCGAATCGTTCCAATTGCTTGATTCGATCATAGTTGGCAAACCAATTGAACTTGTTTTTTTAATTGAATCCCTCACTTGTTTTTATTGCAGTCCCCAATTGACGGATGCAGAGAATCTGGAAGTGTTCGGAAAATGCAACAATTTCCATGGCCACGGACATAACTATACAGGTGAAGAATTCCCCCCACTAAACACTAAATTCAGCACTCGTTTAAATGCCTGATTACCTGCAAAATGGCAGAGATATCATGTAACCCGGGCTCAATCGGGTATAACCCCCAGCTGTTGGTAATTCGAGACTGAAATGTGTTTAACCATAGCAAAACCTTGGCCGACAAGCTTGCTTATCAAAACCATATTCAAGTTCAACGCTCATAGGTAATAAAATCCACGGACTCTCGACCGACAATTGATAATGAATTGAGCTTAAGACGAGCATAACATTGCGCAACTTGTTAACTGATTAGGTTTCAGGAATATTTTCAGTTTTCAACAATAAACTTACTTGTTTATTGTTTTTCATTCTTAATGCGATTTTAGATTTCGATGTCCTGATTTTGTTTACTTTATGTTCAAATCAAAATATGTCTTGTATAAAACCCTTTCCCCCATCGGAAACAGAAACCAATTTTTAATGCAAACCTGTAGTTAAATGATTTTAAATAATAATTTTTCCTCTTTTAGTTGAGATTACGGTTCGTGGACCCATTGATCGGCGAACTGGAATGGTGCTAAACATCACCGAGCTAAAAGAGGCTATCGAAACGGTGATCATGAAGCGTTTGGATCACAAAAATCTCGACAAGGATGTAGAATACTTTGCCAAAACAGTCAGTAACCTGCTAAATCAGTAACCAGATAAATATTCATAGTAATTTTAACTGATCCCTTAGCCTAGTACCACTGAGAATTTGGCCGTCTATATTTGGGACAACATCCGTCTGCAGCTGAAGAAACCCGAACTTCTGTACGAGGTGAAAATCCACGAGACACCAAAGAATATTATCAGCTACCGCGGTCCCTATCCGCTCAATGGAATCTACAATCCTATCAACAAACGGGTCACACACAATTCCGGCACCAATATCTCATCGGACTCCGATTGAATGACAGATATAGGAATTTACATTCGAACGAATTTTTTGGGACCACTCAGCGAACATTCAGCGAACCTCCTTAACCAACACGCATAGAAAAAGACACTTACCATGTAAGGGAATGAAAGTTATACGAATTACAAAGTATGTAGAAATAATCTATGTTCATGCAACATATTAATGAATAAATAAACAAGCAAGTAAAAGGCATTGCGTACTTGGAAACAGTATTTATTTTGGTAAAACAAAATAGCATGATTTTAACGCAGGACATTTGTGGACATTTATTTAAAGTAGTAAAACATATAGTATTTCCTATCGTAACGCTCTATATGGCAGCTATACATTGTGGGTTTATAGAAATAATTTGGTTGTTTTGCGAGCTAGTTAACCGCTAAGTATTGTATAATTAATTTAGGTATTCCTCTAAATATATCACGCTGTGTATGTTTGCTTTTTTTGGAGAAGGATCCACTTGGGGATGCCCTAGTTCTTTCCGTGCTTGTAGGGATAGTCCTGCATGTACAGGCTGCAGTAGTCGAGCCAATCTTTCGAATCTGTGGGATCAGCAAGGTAGCGATTTGGATCATTTGGAACGTATCAACTTTGAGCAACGATCTACTTTGATTAGTGTACTTATTTGTTTTAGTTAGTAGTGTTAAGTGCTGTGTTAATCGAGAATTAGTAGTTGTTAGGTTGTTAGTTTGTTGGTTTGTTGGTTTGCCAAGATTAGAGAGAGTATTAAGCACAAAACAAGTAAAACACTCAGGTACTTTCAACCTAATAAAGATGTTTGTCTTTCGGGAAAAGCGTAGGAACTGTTTTTTTGTTTTTCTGGAAGTCATGGGATAAATTAGTTGATAACATATCACAGTCTGATGGTAACAGATACTCATTGAACGACTTAGAAGACTTTGGTTGAACTTATCGGAAAGGCTAGGCGGAATACTAACTTTGGTAGGGATTTCTACTTCATTTATTTTCTCTTTTTTTTGGATATGTCTTGTTTTAGCTACGTTGAGCAATCGCCCATTCGGGGGCTAAGCAAAGCTCTACTAATATTTGGTTTAGGCCTAAGTTTTCAGTTGCAACGAATCTTAATGCGTTAACAGACTTGTCTCTTCAGATACAACCGCGAATCCAATTCGTTTGCTATACAATATATAAATATATCTATGGCTAATAAAACGTTTTCAACTATATAAAAAGTGTGCGCCGCAATTACACATCCATGTGTAGTTTTCCAATATTTGGTTATGGCTTTAAAGCATTTACGATATTATCGCTTTGGTCTTTGGTCATCTCTCTTCTCTTCTCTCCGCTCCGCTTCAGTGTTAGATCCACTAGATGGTGTTGCGCAGGGCCTTACCTGGGTTCCTTATCGATATGAAGGGTATCCCGAACTCGAACTCGTTCTTCGGCCAGTACTTCAGCAGCGGCTGTCGCTGCGGTAGCTCCGATTCCACGTAGAAGTAGGCGAACAGCACCAGCACCGTGTACGCGGCGATGAAGATGAAGATGTGCCAGAATCCATGAAGGTACGGGAAGTTGATCGCCGACCACGCCTCGCAGAAAACCCGGTCGTTTATCCAGCAGAAGACGGCGACGGCCCAAACAGTCGTCGATCGGATTCCCAGGCGATAGACCCTCTGGTCGCTAACTCTGCAAAAAATAAAAAATATAATATATCAAAATTGTATATTATCAGAATTCTTGCTTAATTACTTTTATTGAAATAATAAAATGATAATGAAAATACTTTACCATGAATAGCTTTTAATTTAAATTACATATAATATATATATTCAAACATTCATTAAATAATAAATATAATAACCCTGTTCCCTTCTAATTTACTTCGAAAATACTTACCAACATTTTTTAACATCTTAATGATTTATGTATATTAGTTTTTCCCAGGGTTAGTAGAACTAATTTGTTCACAAAGAGAACCCAATCCAATCTTACTCTTGAGTTCAAGTAACCCACCGTAGTAAATGCAATTTTCCACCCAATTTATTGAGTAAAAACATTAGCTTTTCTCAACTAGTGGTAATCATGAGTCGGTTGAGCAAGGTGTTCCAAGTTCTTTTCGTTCTAATTTGTTCAGGGTGTTGGACAAAAAACCACGTCCAAGGAGCAACTGAGTACTATGTGAAGAGTCCTGTTTGCCAGATGCCCGCCGTGGATCCCTTTTCGTGGGACACAATGAAAGACTTCCACAGGGAAAAGATAAACCTCTGCCACAACGACAGGGATTTGGTGACAAGTGAGTTTGACTTTGAGACACATCAGTACCGACTCCATATACACGAGCACCTGGCAAAACCAATTCTCAACACGAAGGGCAATGCAACATTGGAGTGCGAGTATAAAGAAATAGCGAGGGATAACTCCGCCGAACAACCAGACGATGCCTATTAGTGAGTATTCATGTATGTATTATAAAAAAAAAAACAAACTACTTAAAATTTAAATCTGCAAGATAGTTCCTTAAAATGATTTATAGATTTTTAATTGTAAACATTGCAAATAGAAAAAGTTTTAGACAAATGAATTAAATAACTACATTTAACTCATAACCACTATTTTATTATCATATAATTATTTTATTTACTGTTTATTTGTTACTGAATTTCAGTGAGTTCGAAAGCATTCCCTTTTCGCAACACCAAAGTGTTCCGAACGACATGGACTTCATGATCACCAGCTGCTATGTGAAGGATGTGAAAAACCATCGAAAGCTTGTGCAAAGGAATGCAATGTCCTTCGTCGAGGATCATCTGACCAAGATGGAGGAAAAGGAGTTCGTGGAGGAGCAAAGCGAGCACTCCAGGCCGAGTGTCCTCATAATGGGATTGGATTCCACATCGCGCATCAATCTCCGACGGGCAATGCCATCCGTTTTCGATTTTGTGAGTCAACCGGGATGGTTCGAGATGCAGGGATACAACAAAGTGGGTGATAATACCTTTCCCAATCTTCTCGCCGTGCTGCTGGGAGATTCCGAGGAAGGAGTCCGCCGTATTTGCGATGCTGAGAAGCCAGGCTGCCTCGACAAACTTAACTTTATATGGAAGCGTTTCAAGGAGTTCAACTACACTACAGCCTTCGCCGAGGATTGCAAATCTATTTCTACGTTTAATTATCTAAAACCGGGATTTAGCAAACAGCCAACGGATTACTACCTTCGTCCGTTTTTGTTGGCCATCGAAAGTCAGTTGAATGTGACTCTGGATTATGGATTCGCATTCTGCGTGGGCCGTCATCTCAGCTTCAATTACGTTTGGGACTTTGGCCAGCAGTTCATCGATCGTTTTTTGGGCAGATCCCCAATGTTTGGATTCCTGTGGAGCAATAGTTTCACTCACGATTATTTCACAGGAGCCACGGCGCTCGACGGGCTTTTCTTAAAGTATCTGAAATCCTTTGAGGAATCCGGTCTCTTTGGGAAATCCATTGTGATTCTGATGAGTGATCACGGCCATCGGTTTAATACTTTGCGACTGGCAGCAAGTGGTTACTTTGAGGAGCGAATGCCCATGATGTTTATATACCTTCCCCTTTGGTTCAGGAGGAAATATCCCCATTTGGTGGAGAATCTCAGAAAGAACCGCAATCGCTTGTCCTCAAATTACGATGTTTACATGACCCTGCAGCACTTGCTCCAGTTGGACAGCAAATCCATGGATGATTTCCCAGATCATCTGAAGGCAACGCAGTGCAAAAGCTGTCAATCACTGTTCTTTGAGCTGCCCTTCAATCGCACTTGCCAAATGGCCGGAATCGATGAGAAGTGGTGCTGTTGTCAGCCCGCAGAAACAATAACGAAGACTCCCACTGCCAAGATTATTGCCAAGGCAATTGTGCAGCAAATGAACGAGCATTTAAGGAGCCACAATCTCACAAGACTTTGCCACGATTTCGAATTCAAACAAATCCACAAAGCTGACCGCAAAACCATCCTATCAACTGGTCTTAAGCCCGCTGATAAGGACGATCACGTATACATTATTTCCTTCGAAACACTTCCCAGAAAACCCCTCTTCGAAGCCACTGTCCATTGGAATAATCGAACTCGGGAGTTGCGTCCCATAAATGTGGAGGATTTGAGTCGGTTGAACTCGTACAAAAGAGATGCCAAATGCATAAATCAAAAGGCGGCCAAAAAGTTTTGTATTTGCAAGGGCAGAGTAAAAAAAACCCAAAAACATTAGCAAACAATAAATATGAATTACTGTAAAGAAATTATGAGGAAAGAAATTAATTCTTTTAGGAAAGGTTCAACCAATTATTCATTTTATCCCTAGGGAATGGTAATTTATTTCCCCAAACTCATACAACATTACTCAACTTTATGACAGCTGTAGTTTCCAGGGGAGAATTCAGTGGCACATTAGCTACCAAAATCAATATATACACAGTAAGCCCTCGAGTAAAGTACCAATACAGTGCAGCTACTTCAGGCTTATCTTAATTACACACTCTGACCGATTGAAACGACTGATTGATGAACCGACATTCGTTACCAGTGCAGGGAAACTCCTTTCGATTTTGATCTTTGACCTCGTCGGCCCATAGCCAAAATGACAAAAACTAAAATTGAGTAAATAAGTACTGATAAGATTGAAATATTATAGTTGCGTAATCTATACGAGTAGCGGGCTTAGTACACTTGTTCCCAACGATAGACAAAAATATACGATAAGAGGGATGAGTGATGGTAGATACATGATTTATGGACTTGGTTCATTTTGGGTCACCAAGCAGTAAAATCAGAACTGAATCTCTATTGATAAGACACCTAGATTAATGGGGTATGCAGGTAGGTAAACTCACCTTTGCAGCTCGGTGTAGAGCATTACCATGGTCGGTACACTCATGAACATGAGCACAAAGGCATTAACAATGGGCTTCCACCACGACAAGCCCGTTGCCGCGATCGCAGACATCAGCATGAGCCAACTGAAGGTTTTGCTGCAGAGACAAAGGAAACCGAATAGAAACCGAAAGTCGGGGCTTTAGATAGTTGGCCTGCCGATGATATCATTTCGTGTTCAGCACTCACCGATCGTTTTTCACGAACTTGGGATAATAGCGTTTGGGGTAGAACAGGGAGAAGGCAGCCATGAAGACCCACAGAATGGCCAGTTCGTCCAGCAGCTGACCGATTAAGCTCAGGGTGGCGTGGAAGTACATGGAGCTGAGGCCCACCACGATGAGGAGCACCCAGATCACATGGATCCCGGGAGTTACAAACCTTCCGTACTCCTTGAACAGCATTATCAACACGGGCGGCAGTAGGATGAACAAAAAGTTGCTGAACTGTGGCAGGAAATATCAAAGGAAATTATTAAGATAAAAAAACAACAAATAAATAAAAATTTATATTATATTTCTTATTACTTTCATAATATATATTTATATTAATTTCATCTTAAAAACTTGCTTAAAATTTAAGATAGTAAATTCAGTATTGTTTCTTTTTTTTAATATTTTTTTTTTTTTTTTTTTTTTTTTTTTTTTGAGTAATAAAACTTGTTATCTTCCGTCTTGTCATTATAAATAACTGATTATGTTTGCTTTCCATTTTTTACGTGTCACTTCGACAATTTGCACTGTGACACGTTAATTTCTGAGCAAATTGAATAATTGCAATTACTTTGTATGGGCAGCCGAGCTTGAAGTGAAGTAATTATCGCATCTAAAGTGTGATGAAACAACATTTACATATTCCTATTATACTGAATTGATAACAAAATGGGTTAGGCCATTATTCACATTTATCATGCATAAAGAAATTTACGAGTGAGTGAGTATATCCGTATATTATATGGCAGAGTCCCGCTTTGATTTCACTGCATATGCCGCTTTTCTTTATTGTCAGAATCGGAGGTCATTCACTCCATTTGCACAACTTTTTTTGTTGAGCCAACTCAATTGAAACAAAGCCAAATGCGTTTTAAACGATTTGCACTCCACTGGCCCACAAACGATTACTCATGACAACGAAATCAATTAAAAGTTTACCAATTTCCATTATCGTTAGCAGGCGGAAGTAATCCCTAAGTGGATTACCAATCATTTCAATTGCTGTTCCAAATAATTATTTTTTCTATTTTTGTTAGATGTCCAGGATTGATGATAATGAGATTGCAAGTGTTACTATATACATATGTTTGTATGTACATAGCTTTGTCAGAAGAGTGTGGAATAGATGAGATTTGATAACCTTGCGAACTTAATATTAGTACATATTCAGTCCGGGGGTTAATAATATAAATGAAAATGATTAACAATTTACTCGTTATTTAATTGAAGAAATTTTTCTTTTAAGTGATACATGAGTATTACAAAGACTACAATTTTTGCTACTAAACATACATAGAAGAAAACGGTTTTTTAAAAAGTTTAAAAATTTGTGTTATGATAAGTCCAGAAGTCGTCATAAAACATCACTGTTTTGATCCATATTTTTCTTTATTTTTGTTTACAAAACCTGCGTTTCTGTTAAAGGTAAACATCAGGCGATTATCATTGATAAGAGGTAATGAAAGTGAGTCCGTCACATATCAAGTTACCTTCGTTCAAATGCTTATTTTAATGAGAATTGTAATCAACACATGTTCAGTCAGGATGTTCAACCCTGATAAAATCATTCAGTCTTGTTACTCTGATAAATTATACTATTCTTTTGAATTTACAGAACTGTTGGCTGGGAAATAGAAAAAAAAATATGAAATAAATAATAGCTGTGGTTTGTTAGTCTGAGTAAAAACGTTTATTTTTCAATTAGCCACCACCCACATACTGATTTTATCGATCGGACGGGTATAACGGTCACTTTCAGGGCTAATATGATAAGAAAACTAGTTTTCCGAGTGTCGCATTGCGAATTTGCCACAATGTTCCATCTCGCTCTTGCACGCCAAGCGTGGCTAACAGCATCTTTTGTTTACGTTCTATCGGTCTCGCTCTAAAAAGGTCAAGGCCTAGCATAAAAGGAAAATGTGCAGCTGTGTGTGTGACAGCAACAAAAACATTGCTAACTAGAGCAGAGCTACAATAAGTGGGAGATAGGTATATTAAAATAAATTGCACATACGCACCGTGTTCACGAACTCCGCAATATTGGACGAAATTAAGTAGTTGCCCTCGCACCAATCGACTGGCGAGCTTCCGGGTCTCAAATGTTCCCAAGCCATCGAGTAAATGTCCAGCAAGCCACCGCTCCCCAACCCGCCCATTTTTCTCGTTTTTGCAACCCCCTCTCTGGAGAACCGAAAACAAAGATCACAGCTGATTTATGGGGTTTTTCGGGTTTTGCCAAGGCACTTTTTGCATTTGTTTGTTATTTATTTTTTCTTTTTTTTATTTTCCTTTTGCAATCTTAGGCCAGCTGCAATGTTGTTGTTTTTCCGCCTGCACTTTGCATAATAGCGCAGTGTGCAAGTACTTGCGTGTCTTTGTTAATTCGTTTCCGCCCGGCTGCTAAATTAAACATGAAATAGTTTTTCAGTTATGTAAGGATACGAATAGGTTTTCGAGTAACTGGCAGAATCTACGACGTTTAGGATACTAAACAGACGCACGAGGAAGTGCGTTTTTTAAAAAACTAAAACGCAGCGCGCAACGACCGACGCAACGGAGAAAACAAAAACAACTGGACAGTGTTGCCATACGGCGAATTGGGTTTCCCCACAAATGCTTTTGACCATAAAAAACTGGAACACAGTTTTCCCTAAATTTTCCGGTCACGAATTTTTCTATAACCCTTTAAAAGAGTGGTTGTGAGCTTAGATTGGTTTGCATGCATACATGCCTTTATCAACACTACCTTCCTTTTTCCCACCTCTAGCCGGGCACGCCGTGTGTTCCTTTCCACCGCTTGGCAAAATTCTTTTATAAGTTTTCCCGGAATTACTGACCCAACGATCATGTTTCCGCAACGCAGCTCGGAGGTCTACCGCACCCCGGAGTCCCACCGGCCTCCGCCGGCTCTGGAGCTGGCCCGGAATCTCGAATATCCCAATCTCAACGTTGCGGATTTGAATGCCCGCCTGGAGAACCTGTCGCCGCGACTCCACGACTGCTGGGACAGTATTGCGATCAATGAGCACCACCACCTGGCACTGGCCACCAATCGCCGCGAGGGACGCCACTGGTGGGGCATGTTCTTCGGCTACGAGCGCAAGCATATGAACCACATGAGCGTAGACAACGCGGATTTCAAGCTTCAAGCGGATCACACCGTCAATCTGGTTCGCTACGCCGAGAATGATGTTCTGTTGGTCGCCCTGGGCAATACGGGCCTCCAGGTCTGGTCCACCTACTCAAAGGTGCGGAACCCGAAGTCGCCCTATTGCCTCTTCCTCGTCGGCGAGTCCTTCGCCCATCCCACGCCCATCAGTCAGCTGAGTGTCTTCAAGGCGGATCCCAGGAAAGCCGTCTCCGCATCGCTGGATAGCACACTGAATGTAGGTGCAACAAGGCATCAACTACTTAAAAAAAATACATTCAGAGATTACAATTCTTTTTGCTTTTAGGTATGGGATCTTTCTGGAGCCGATCTTGCGAGCTCGTACCATTCCCGAATTTCGCACACCGATAAATTGACCGGATTGGCCACGCCGTCATCCTCGGCCGACCAGTTTGTGACCTGTGATCGAGGCGGATGTGCGCGCCTCTGGGATGTCCGTGCGGCAGCTCCTTCTTCCACGTGTCTCTACGCAGACTCAGCGCATTTGTTGAGCTTCACCTGCGCTGCTTGGGCCGCTCCAACGGAGCTGCAGGGTGACAATAACGTGTATCTCGGAGACTACGATGGAAAGGTTCACACTCTGGACATCCGAGTGCCAGGAAAACTGGCAGAAACGAACGAGTATTTTGACAAGGGATATGTCTCGCAACTGCTTATAAATGGGTATGAAATAATAGATAATTAGGAATACATATCATTCATCTATAAATCACATATTTTTTTCAGGACTCATCTGGCTGTCATGAGCAATCTTCCAGCCTCAGTAAAAGTGGTAAATGTTCAGGAGGGTAACAAGGCCATCTACTCACACGAGGACACACATTTGCGCCTTACGGATGCCATTTGGACTGATGATAAAACCCTCGTCACCATTGGACATGGCCGCAAAATGGTGACACATTCAATTAAGTGATTTTGCTGCAGATCCAGCACCTTTATTATTTTTGCAATTACATTATTAAATGATTTACCGTATACTTTATACTTCTGACTGAGGTGCTGACTTTAGTTAATACAACACTTTTTCTATACATAACTATAAATACGTGTATATAAGTAGAGGTTAAAACTGTAAAATTAAAAGTCTTGACGTTCAAAATACAAATGTACAAACCATTTTCTCATACCAACCCTTTTTTCTCATAGTAATTTTATTTCTAACAAAAATGGAACAAATGCCCAGCAAAATGCATAAAGGCTAAACACCATCGATGTAATGATGATTTTTCTTTTTATTTTTCCATACTTTCACCGATTGTTTCCATAAAGGCTATTTATATAGTTGTCCGATTTTCATAAACTCAATGATGAGATGTATGCCGATTTAAAATCTGATTAAAAGTTAGTTCCGGATTTAAAATGACTGAATTTTGATCGTTTTTTCTTTTTTTTCGATTTCTTCTATGAAAGCTATCCAATATAGTCGCCTGATCCGGCCCGTTCCGACTTATATACTGCGTGTAATAACTACGCAACTTTTGGTAAAGTTTCAGCAAAAAAGACTTAAAATTGAGAGACTAATTTTCGTAGAACCAGATTTAATTGCTTTATTTCAAAAAGCCAAATTGTTCGGTAAAGAGTCAAATCAAGTCTTACATATAACACTTATAGTTGCTTAACAATTACTGGCTAATATATCGTAATTATATTCCAATGGAATGCCGAAATTCTGATCGATAAGAAGCTTAAAATGATTGTAAATGCAAGGCCCAGAAATAAATGCAGTTTAACAGGAGTTTTCGGGCTTGGGTGATGAAACTTACACTAGACAACACGTAAAAATAAACAACCGCAAAAAAATACTTGAACAGCAATCATACAATCGTATGCAGCGGCGAATGGGGAAAAATGTTATCGCTTAATTTTTCCAGAAAATTAAAACCTTTTCACGCCTTTTCCGCAAAGATAGAAATAAAGTTATCGTCGCGATCGCTTCGTTGGCGGCTCGAGAAAGTTATTCTCCTCCTCTATTTCCATGCTCTCCAGCTTCATCAACCTCTTGGCTTTTTGCAGCATTTGCGTGTCCCGCAGCCAGCTGCACTGCAGGACGTCATCGATTGAGGGTCGCCTTTCGGGATCCACAATGAGCATTTGGTTGATGAGCAACTTGGCACGCTGCGAAACGCCCTTCCATGCCGGATGTCCGTAGGCGAACCGGCCCTTTTTAATCTGCTGGGCTGCCGGAGTTCCGTACTCGTCTGAAAACGGCAACGTGCCACTCAGGCTGCAACGAAAAGGTTAAGAAATCTTTAATATTTAATTTCCTGCTAATTGATTTTATTTCCCTACCAAGTGAAGAGCACTACGCCCAAGCTCCAGATGTCTACTTTTCGGGTGTAGGCTTCTCGGCCGCCAGTTATTAGCACCTCGGGGGCCACATAGAGAGGTGTGCCACAGAGCGTGCGCATCACCGAGTCCTTCTGTACAAACTTGCTTAGACCGAAATCGGAGACCTTTAGCAGGGTCTCTTCGTCGTTGGTCTCCAGCAGGACATTGTCTGGTTTTAGGTCACGATGGGTGATGCCTACAAGTTAAAAAAAAACAATTATTTTATGGAATTGCCAAACAGTAATCCAAACTATAATTACCCCGATCGTGGAGGTATTTGACGGCATGGCACATTTGGTAAAAGTAAAGCTTAGAAGTCTCCTCGCTTAGCAGCTTGTTAGTGATGATCCGATTGAGCAAGTCCCCGCCGCGCATAAACTCCAGGACCATGTAAACCGAGTCCGGTTTGTCCACGATGTCGTGCATGCGCACCACGCACGGATGTGAAAGATTCTTCATAATCTTGGCCTCATTTAGCACCCTATCGGGATCACTAAAATTTGTACTCGGTCGCGCACCAGACAGCATGTTTTTCTTAACGATTTTCATCGCGAACTGCTGGCAGGTGCGGGTGTCATAGACGAGACGCACCAGTCCGTAGGCTCCCGAGCCCAGTTTGCGATTTACATAATACGTTTTGTTAATCTCCTCGGGCAGGCCGATCGACTCGTTGGGACTGAGATCCTTAAATACAAAGGCTGTACGAAAAGGAGGCAGGTGTAGGACATTGAATTACTTGCGAATCTCTACCTGTTACCTGTTCACTCACCTTTGTATGTTGGGTGGGACAGGGAAATCACGTCGTCGTTCTTCAAGATCCTCATCTTGTTTGTTCCAATTTTTTCGTTATTCACAAAGGTCCCGTTGCGTGAGAGATCCTGAGAAATGGGCGGAAACAAAGGTTATTACATTGGGAGATTCCCATTACAATTCAGGAGGAAATGGGCGTGATATATGTATTAAATAGCCCTTGTCTGTGCAAGAACCCTATAAAGTAAATATATGCATTTAAGATTAGTTTGACATTCTTACATTTATCAATTCATGCTTTCAAGTTTATATACAAATGGTTTTGTTTATTAACCAATGTTTTTTTTGTTTTAAAATATATAGACTGCCGAATTTTTTATTAGATCCCCCACATACCTGTATGTAAACCGGATTGGTAAGCTCGCAATTTGCCCGTTTTATGATAAAATGCACTTTGGAAATGCGCGTCAGAATTTTCTCAGGCAAATCGTTGAGTGTGAGGATTAAATCATTGGCCTCGCCTCGTCCTGCGGTGAACTCGTCATTGTTGAGATCTGAAATCAGTTCAGAATGGAAACACCATTAGTAACAAGTATTTTGCAAAGCTTAAAACACAAAACAGGCAGCAAATTTGGTTACCAACAGAAAAGGACGAATGCGTATATAGAATTCGGTATTTTGAGCTCGTACCCAACGATTTGATCTTAATATTTTTGCCGTACAAACGACCCCAGACGATTTTCTCCATCGGCTGGCTTTCCACTTGAGTCCAAATATTGGAAGCCTGACTTTGGGTTCCCTGGGTTCCTTCAGTGTCGCGTGCCATATTCGATAGCTTTGTAAGGTCGTGATTCCGTAATTCGAAATGGAAAGCCCGTTAACTTTTAAGGAAACTGCGCAAAATTCGGAAAGTCCAGTTATTTGGCCACCAATACAGGGCAAGCCAAAAACACACACACAGCACGATCAGTGATAAACGGTAAAGCTATACAACTTATGTTTATCCTATCTAAATTCGACTGCTGAGCGTTTTCTATGTGCTATTTGATTACATCGAGCTTATCGCGTTGCGCTAGCTAAGAGTTAATTAATGTTTCACAGACGAAAACAACGAAAAGTAACAATATCACGACATGGATGTGAACTGCGCGACGGACTCAAAGTTTTGATGCAGTGTGTGTGAGAGTTGCCGCCTTCCAGGGATCCAGATTTATTCAGCGCCAGTGTTGACAATTTTCTACGAACGTTGATTTAAGGATGCCCCGTGCTCTAATTGATTATTTTGATAAGACGTTTATTGGAACGGCAGATTGATTATTATGAAATAAATAACGAGTAAACAAATAATATATATTTGGTTAAGGAGAATATAATACAACAAAACATTTTTAAGTGCGGCGGCTGAATTGTTTTGATTTATTTAAATCTTAACTTAACTTAACCGTTCTCTTTATCATACAGCCCTGGGTCGAGGAGTTCCATTTCTACCAATAAAGTTTAACACGTTGTGCAGCCCTTAACTTCAGTAATTTTAAATTGACCAATTAGCTTATTAACAATTAAAAAAAATTAATGTTTAAATAAAAACATATAAAAAGTTAGAACCTCGCTGTGATTTAAGCAACTAGTTTAGCTATATCCCCGCGCCCATTTCTAGCTAGCTTGTCACCCCTCTAATGTTTTACAACACTGAAACTACAGTCACTGTGCAGCCCTAAATTGCGGCGTCGTTTGAAAGAAACTGTAAACTAGTACCAATACCAGCGCATAACAAAAAAAATAGAAAAAATACAATCAACAATACGACAAGAGCTGGTTGAAAGTTATCAAATTAGGATTTGACCTTAATATAAAAGAAATATAAACCATTTTGTGTTGTACAAGGTTGCACAGAAAACCGCGCCTTCGGCAATCTTGATTTCCCGTGGCTACGAACTTCTGACTTCCTGGTTTTCAAACATCTTTCGGGAGGATGACACTGCCGCGCTTGGAAACTCCGCTTCGGCGATCCGCGGTAGGTAGTTACCACGAGGGCGTCTCCCGGATGATGACACCGCTGAACGACGACGAGGCTGAAAGGCGGGAAGCCCGCCGACGCACGCTCCTTCAGCAGCAGCGCCAAAGTACTCTGGAGTCCATCGAGGACAATGAGACGATCAGGAACTGTTTAGAGATCTATAACGGCAACAAACTGAGCAAGGACAACGCCTGGAATCTTACTCTTATTGATTCCTTGGCCAATTTGCTAGATCACCATCACAAGCGGATGAGCAACTTCAAGGTAGACTTTTTGAAATCCTAATAAAAGCCTTTCTAATGCTCGTTTAATCCCCTCAGATTGCAGGTTCCTCGCTGGAGGCTTCTTCCAAGGTGTACGGGCTGAGGGTGGACTCCATCTACCTGGATGCCATGCGAATTTCAGCTGGTTTGAGTGCCCGTACTCTAACGGACAAGCAAATAAACGCTGCCGAGGACGATGATGGTTCTCAAGTTGATCAGGGTGCGGGCGAAGGGCAGGATGCGACGCAGCAGGCCCAAAAGGAGGCAGCTCCCAAGCCCAAGAGGCAGAAGAAGAACGTCTCCACCGTTACCAAGAACAGGGACACCTTAAACAGCCGTCTGGACACGGCACCTCTTCAGGACCCTGTCTTTGGCAAGCTCAACTCCACAGTGGGCTCGATAAACGCCTCAAATCGCCTCATGCACAACATTCTGCCTAGTCTGGACTCGGAGCTTCGCCTGCGCACCACCTATAAATTTTGGGACAACGAGGAGTCCACTGGAGAGGTTCAGGACCACACTACACTCAATGCAAACGCGGAACAGTGGCCAGCTGAATCGCTGGTGAGCTCTGCCTGGCTGCTAAAGTTGCTCCCCCATGCTGAGAGATTTAATTTGCGTCCCCTGCACACGGGCTACATTATTTCAAGTGCTCCCAACCCCAAAGCGTCCAACGACAAGCCTGCAGAGGCGACGATGGACGACGATCAACATGACGATGGGCTGGATATTCCTGACGATATGTGTGTAAATGAGATTTCCATGGCCTTTGACATCAACGCCGAGTGTGAGCCGATGCCGGACTTAGATGCACCACCGCCGCCGGTCCTCGAGGTGGACTCCAATGAGCTGCAAGAGCTCACCACCGAAGAGCAAATGGTGATAAACAACTGCCGTCGGCTGCGCAAGCAGACAGAGTTCATCGAAGATCTGCGACCGGTGGATGGTCACTCCAAGCTAGAGTATTCCTACAGGCCGATGGAGCAGATCTCCCAGTTTTGGGCCGGACCCTCACACTGGAAGTTTAAGCGCACGCGGCCGCGCAGCACTTTTTCCCAAACCAATGGGCAGGCGGACATCCAGCCTGTTCGTAGTCAACGGCCCAAGAAGTCCAACGTTCTGGCCGCTAATCGTAGGGCCAAGGCGGTGGCATACGGAAATGTGACGGAAAACTTCTTCCAACCGCTGGATACGACAATCAAACAGCGTAGAGTGAACTTCCAAAAGAAGTGGGACGCCCGCAAGCTGATACTGCCCACAAAATTCAGCTTGGACCCGGATTACTTCTTCAAATACGACTCGGCGCCCAGCATTAAGTTGTCCCAGGGTCTAGAAGAGCCTGATTCAGATGAGGGCGGTGATCTGGGCATTGACATGGGTGCTGACATGCATCACGACGAGGACAACGATCAGGAGCTGTTCAACAACGAGCACTTCACCGATGCCGTTCCCGCCAACGTAAGTGTTATGGCGGCGATGGCCGCGGAGCCGGGAGCCGAGAATTCGATGGATGTGGACGCGGGCGAGATGAGCGTCAACCAGATGAATGCCACCTGCAATAATACAGCTTTCGAAATTGGCACAGAGTTCGAGGGTGCTCCGTCGCAAGTAAGTCATTACTACTACTAATTTTTGATACCTTTTTTTATAAAATGTCTTGTATTTTTTTAAGGTTGCAAAAGTGGTTGTGCCATTTGCGAAACGAGCCAAGGTGATAGACATGAAGAATCTGAAAAAATCTTGCTATTCCCTGATACAAAAAAAATTGCTCACCGCTGTTCCCGAGGAGACGATAGCCACGCATCCAAAGAAAAAAGACGAGCACTATTCAAAGGGTGTTGCCAGTTTCCAGTCGGTGTATCGCGATCTGCCCAACCTGCTGACCTCCAAAATGGCAGATTCCCTCTCTCCATCGGTGGCCCTCTATGCAGTTCTGCATTTGGCCAACGATCAGAAATTGCGCCTTATTCAGCAAGATAATTTAGAGGACTTTCAAATCCGACAAGTCTTGGATTGAGATCTTCCATTAACTATAAAGTTAACAATATTAGTTTTCCCTTAATGTCTTTTCATTGTCACGGCTATCTCTTAATCTCTAAACTTTAGTTTTACCCAGTTAACAGTTTTACCCAGTTAACAGCACTCGTGTCAGTATTCCCAAAGAACTACCCTCACCCCAATCGAATCTGATTTTAATTCTTAGACGAAGTAAGGTTCCGGCGAACTCTGATTTTATAAATTATTTAATAAATAATTACAAAACTAAACGGAGTATTTTATTCAACATATGGTTTGGGCATTTAACTAGTATGTTTAAATCTGAATATCATATCTTCTGACAACACTTTTTATAGAAGAACGAATTAAAACTTTGGCATTAGTTTTGGCTGTTTATACTGTGCTGCCGGCTCAGACAGAAACGAAGAAGTTGTTAACATTGTTTTTCGTTTCTGTTGCTCTTTCATTTGCATACTCATATGATTTTACACTGTCAAAAATTTCAAACCAACAAATAAATTATGTTAAAAGTCTAATTCCACAGAATTTCGAGTGTGGTAATAAAAAAATAAATCTCTGGGTGAACTCATTAAGATTTTTTCACCATATTATAATTGATTTAAAGTGTGGCTGGTAGCGCTATAAATAATTTACTTGTGTCACAAAATCTCTCATTATTTTTACTTTTTATTATTTTTACTTTTTATTTTTATGAAAAAAATTCAATATTTTTCACAGTTTTAAAAGGAGGCGAAAATAAAAATGGAAATCAAGGCGTTTTACTGGCGTTTTTAGATGCAAGTGGTTTTTTGTCGCCTCCTGAAGAGGATTTCCCTCTGCATCTGTGTATGTGGGACACATGTGTGTGTGTTGTTTGCGATGTGTTTGTGTTTGTTAAAAAAAGTTCGGTGTTTACAGAGCGCTTTTAGGCGCCGCTTGTGTGTGCGTGTAATTGCATATTATTTGCATAAATATTTGCCGAGTACTAAGTAACGGTGTGCGTCAAACTGAATACACACTGTACATATGTGACGCAACAACAACCACATCAGCATGACGGATCACTTAAAGACATTTCCTCAAAACTTTTAACATTAGCAAATGACACTGAAAACAAACTTTTTAACACACACATGTTGATCCTGTTCTTCACTTTTTTTTTAATCCTTATGGGCGATATGCAAATCGTTTTGTTCTGTTTCCCTTTTTTAGGTAAGTAAATTTCTTTAATTGGTAGATACGCTTTGGATGCTGTAAATTTTATATTACCAAACGTGAATTTTTCGCAGGAAGTAGTTCAAACTTCACCTAAACCTAAACAAATTATAAAAGCCAAATATTTTTCTAAAAAAGTTTTCCCTGCAGATTTTCAAAATATGTTTTAAATTTTAATTTGGCCTAATTACCGAAAAACTCGTTACATAATTTGAGAGCATGCATTTAGGATGACCCAACTTTTTACAGCGGAATTGAAGCGTAAAAAGCTAACCCTGTTAGCGCCCTCCAAAAATGGTATCTTCGTAAAGTGCATTTTCGTGTTGAATTTTCAATGTTGCATGCAATTAACTAAAATAATATGTTTCAGTAGGGAGCAGAGCAATTTCGGGCCACACACGTTCCCGTACATTAGGAGTTGAAAAGTTAATTATCAAAACAAACATCAACAATGAGGACTACCTGGTGGAAGCGGGCGGTTGGCTGGATGTGGTGATGAAGTTAATGGCTGCCATCATACAACAGGTGGGAGGCCAAATGTCCTTGGCTCCCTGCAAATTGTTTGTCTTTGGCCATGATAATTCTCCTGCCCATTCCCAGCTGCCATCCTCATCAGAGTTTTTGTTTCTTGTTTGGTTTCGGTTTAATTTTCTCGCATTTGTTGCTTAATCCCATTATGGGCAGCAGTTTGCCGGCGTGACTTCCCCAAGTTGATAATCGTGGCCAGTTTTAGTGGATCGGTGGGCTTTATGTAGGCTAACCTTCAGAAAAAGTTCACAAAGTTCAAGAATAAAATGTAAATGACAGTAGGTTTAATTACTTGAACTGTAACTGACAAACACAATTTAAATAATTAAAAGTATAATGTTGTGTTTTAATCGAAGTCTTGCATCCCATATGAAAACTGAAAACAACCACTTAAATATTTTTTACTCCATCTGAGTTATTTATTTGTAGCATAGATCGAGTAAAATATGTTTGCTTTTAATTATTCCTGCTCTTTTATTTACATTCATGGTATTACATTCAGTAAAAGGTATATATGCGTACATACTGATATATATCGCGAGAAACGATTTCGGCAATTTTCATCGGAAAATTGCATTCAGCGGGATATGGATTTTACAACAAAGTGTATTTCCTTTATCATACGTTTGCTTGGTAAATTATAATTTCAATGATGGTGTAAATTAAATATACAAAAGTGTTCTAACAACAATCGGCTTTATGCTTTCTTGTAATTGAATTCTCCGTTTATTAAAATACATGAATAAAATTTCAATAGACAATGTTCATCGTATATATATATAGTCGTATAATATAATAGTTGATATACATATATTTATAATTTGTAGCACACATAATATAACAAGTGTTACAGTAATACAGCTTCCGGGGGCCTCTATGTTTTTCAAACACTTCCATCGTAACATTAAATCGAAATTCGCTTACAACTTTAGAAATCAAGAAGTTTTTTTTAATCAACATAATAATATTTGTGTATAGCTTTTTAGCGTTCATTAACAAATTTTGCGCTAGAATAAGAAGTTCCGTATTTTTTTTTATATACATTGAGTCTAAAAGTTTTTGGGGGCGATCGAATAATTTAAAAATTTTTAATTGAGCATATTGGGAATAGGGAGGCTTTACAATTTTGATGGGTACGCACTTTTAATTATTCAACTTACACACAAAAATTAAATTTAATTTAATTAAATAAAACTGGAATTGAAAATATAGATAGTTTTGTTTTACCTTGTGTTACCTGCGCATTGTTAAAGTTTACGGCAAAAATATTTAAGTAAGTTTTAGTTTATTTATGTAGTTGCTAAAAACCAAAAGTTACACATATATGGTTAATCATATGTGTAGATATATAAGATATATGTTCTTTAGTATGTTTTTCTTAGCCCATGCCTCCCTGCGCCTCTTAAAAATGCTTTCAAAAACTTTATCTGACTTGGGGTTTCCATTGGGGTTTTCTGTATCTTATTTGGCATTGGATATTGACCGTGTAGCTTGCTTCCGATTTTCATTTAATTGTTGCCATACTCCTGCAGTTCCTTCACTTGCCCGATTTTCTGTAACTTAGTTCTGTGTCTTCGGTGGGACCGATGAAGTTTCCTCGGGAGTGTGCTAAATTTTTAGAAAGGGTTATGTTTTGAAGAAATAAATTGGAGTAATTTTGTAACCCTACCTTCTGTTCGGAGGGAGCTTTTCCAGTGCTCCGGCCCCATCGCAAACGCATTGGCTTGCGGACCTCTCGCAGAAACTGGAAGTCCTCGTCGGTCTGGTTGTCCTCCTCGTTGGACACATTCGGGTTGAGTTCCTCCAGCTGCAGCTGCAGCAACTGAGCCACCTTGTTCAATTTATCCCATTTCTGTTGAAACTGGAATAGGAATTTAAATAGAAATGAATAAAAAAAAATTAGTCACGTTAATGGAAGCATCTAAGTTTTAAATTAAGGTAAACAACAACTAAATGAAAAGCATCCAACATTTTTTATAACAGAGGACAATTCATTTTAAATAATCGCAATTTGTAAGAACCGCTTATATGAGCATTTAATAAATCATATATTTAACAAGGATTACAAATCTTTATTACCACAACATCTCTTAAAACAAACGTTTCCATAATTTGTATGGAAGTTATGTTTAAATAATTTATATATTAATTATATATTTAAATAAAGTAAGTAATAGTTTGTGTTACCTTATCATTCTCCTCGTTGCTTGCATCGAACTGGGGCACACTGCGACCCCAGCGAAGACGCTGTGGCTTGCGGACGACCCTTTCGTAGAGGCCATCGTAGTCGGCACTCAGATCGGAGTCGCCGTCGGAGCCGAGTTGTTGCTGCTGGCTGTTGAGGGTGAGCTCCCGCTCGAGGAGGTCATCGTAGGCGGTGCGTCTCATCTGGGGCAAGCTGGGATCCCTTCTGCCGAACCGAAGGCGCAGGGAGGGCGACCTAATGGGCTTCTGGTTGACGTCGCCGAACCAACGCTTCTCCACAATGTTGTTCAGCATGTCCGGATCACTGCGTCCAAACCGGAGGCGCAACGAAGGCGAACGCTGGGCCTTTCGCTCCACCTGATGGTTGGGAAAGACGACGGGACCGGCGTACTCGCGCTGCAGCAGATTATCATATAGATTGCTCAGAGGAGTGCCTGCAAAAGAGTCTTTGGCTTTAGAGGATTAGCCTTTCGCATGGCAAGTGGAGGAGAGATGGTCACCTTGAACTGGCGATACCTCCGCCTGGGTGGGCTGCTGCATCTGGATGGCCACCAGGCAGATGAGGGCCAGGGCACAGCCTTGACTCAGTTGGGGCTTCAAATGAAACATTTCTGCTTGTCGCTTTCGTCGCCTTGCGCTGATGAAAAACTATAAGAAAGGATGGTAAATGTGAAAAATTACAAATAAGAGAATATATAGAAGACACAGTTAAAAAAAAAATAGCATATAGAACTTGGAAATAAAAGCTGTAACCCCTAAATAAGAATTAAATGCACAAATATTAACCTACTTTGTAATTATGGCTGTAAAATTATCTAAAATCTTAATTGATTCTTGTTTTTTTTTTGTTCTGCAGCTGTTAAAGTTTATTTCCTTTTAATTTGTCACAGAAAAACACTAAGAAAAAGTTCTTCTGCCCTGCATTTAAATCTAAAAGCATATATTTACAGTAGAATACGAAAAAATATTCCGATTTGCAGTGTCCACACAAAAGGTTGAGCAAACATGGAAATCAAAGCAGCTTTACATGTTTCCTTTTTGCTGGAAAATGTATTTTGTCCACAGAAATTTATGAACGAAAATTATTCATGACTGCACTTGAATGAACTTTTTCAATGCGTTTTTGTTAAAGGTTAGAAATCTGAAAAAATCCAACAGCTGCGCCAATGCCGCCATTGGTTGCCACATTTTGTATATAAATTTATATATATTACTCCAAATGATGTCACGGGTTAATGGCTTGCCTAATGGTCGACCGAAAGGGATTTTCCATTATTTAAAATGTAAAAATAATCAATAGAGCTGCAATTTCCAACATAGACACGAGCTAGACAATGCAAAAGGACCCTCATGCATTTCGTATCACATGTAAGACCTTTCCTTCATTGTAATTCGTTTCAGGCGTCATATGTTCATTTTACAGCAGAACGAATGAGGCCAGGAAAATGGCAATTGAATTATTTATACGAAAAAAAAGCATGCAGACATCGGTTAGGGGGAGATTGCAAGGGTTTGGGCTTGATGAATTCCGTCAGGATGGATAACTTACCTTGGGGCCAGTGCACTGAAGGCGAGAAAAAATGCTCCACTGGAGTGAAGTTCTTATGACGAAAAGTGTCTGAACAATAGACTGAAATGAGTATGCAATATTATGCACAGCAGTCTCTCAAAAGGAAGTGACACTTTCCCCCGAAATGGGGTTGAAATTTCAACTTTTGTTTTGGCTTTCCTCCCTCCCATTTCTTTTCCCTCCATGCGGAAGTTGAAAGTTAAGCCCTTGCAACACAGCATCGGCAAAAAAAAAGAGGAGAGGGATTGCCTTGGGGCGTTAAGTGCTGGCGAAATATTTTGTTAGGAGCTGGCTGCGGATGGCTGGCGATGCAACTTGTCGTATACGTGATAGCCTGCGTATACGTGATGTCAGCAAGGCGAGCCGGAAATTGAATAGTAGTTAAGGCGGGGCACACGTTCCACGAGATAATGACGCCGGGGTGGCTAATAAGTAGATCATTCGTGGCTTTTTAATGGGCGTTTTAAATATTTATTTAAAGTTCGAAGGGAAGGGTTTTTATCAACGGAATTTATAGGGCACTTTTCAAGGGAGAACTTGATTTAAAATGGTTGGAAAGATATTCCGTGTTACTTTAGTACACAATTTCAGTTGTTTACATTTTTATATTTTTAAGCTTTGACTTGTTAAAAGAAGTACCTTAATCCCCAAAATCTGTTTATTTCAACTTGATCGCCTAAATATTCGGTGCATTCTTTTTATGATTTACCATTCGCCCAGTTGCCAGCCATCCATCTTTTCTGATGTCTGTCCGAGCCTTAATCGAATTGACTTTCGCCTTCGCCCTGCTGTCCTTCTCTCGATTTGGCCAATGATATCTCGGAAATGTCCGCCGGAGAGTGATTTGTTGGGCGGAAGCTCTAGCCAATTGCCCGGCGGAGTCCGGCCACTCGGAAATATGGAAATTCGGTATCTGTCTGCGTTTTCGAGTGGGTGTTTGGCCGATGAAATGTGCCCCTAGACTGCGCGACATTTGGGACGTTTGTCAAAATTGAAAGTGATTTATCATCGTTCTCCGTGATGCCTTCTCGTTGGCCCTTGACGAATGACGAATGAGTTGTGCGATAACTCCTAGATAATGATGCTATTTACGTCTGAATGTGCCGTCTGTCCATGGACCTTCGGTAGGCAGATGATCACGATTTAGCAGGCTTTAAAAAACAATGTGTCAGCCAATAAATGGTACATGACACGGTGAATATTTTCGGGGTCTTAAAGTGGTTTGGGTAAAAATGCTTGATTGACACATAATAAGCAATCCCATTAACACATTGTTGAGCATCGAGGGTCTGATAAATGCCCCAGTGAGCAGTTCATCCAAGAACACTCCACAACACATAAAACAATATTTTTAAGTAAAAACATATATTTAATACAACCCAAAATGAATTTAACACATCTGTAGCCAATAAATTAAACCTGAATTAACCTTTCCAAGACCATTAATAAATTATGAGAGATTTTTATGTGTTTGTGTCAATTGCTCTTAAAATTTTAAGAAACATATCTAAGCAACATTAAACTTGTTCTGTAAACATAATATTACACCGATAAAACTCTCTTATTTCAACCCATTTTATGTCGGCTAGTGTGATTTTTCCCCAACAGCTTCTGAACCGAAGCGTGAAAAACACATTGACAACGTTTAAATAGCCTTTACGGCATAGCCCAACTAATACATTTAACGCCCCCGAAACACACAGACTTACGCACACAAATACTTTGGCAAATAACCCCCCTCCCCCCTCCAATACACACACACACACACGCACAAACACATGCACAACAGGTTGTTTTTTGCTCGTGTCGAGAATTTGACGAGGCTCGTTTTTCCCTCTTATTTGTGTGACACACAAATTTTATTTGCCTTTTATTTAACAATTTTTATTTGGCTGTGCGAAAAAGGTCATCTGTGGCTGGTCGGTCAGTCGGTCGGTCCCAAACGGCCAAGCTTCCATTCTTTAACTATTGGCCAAAAAAAAAAAGAAAAAGGTTACTGGGCCGATTCTATCTAGCCGGCTTTATGGCACCCCGACTCCTGGAAAAGGGGGCATTAAAACGTTTTGACAAACACATTAGATGCCTTCGTCCTGTCGCTCGCAGGACCCTTTTTCCCATTTTCCCACTGACCTCCAGCTTGGCTGTAATCTTTTGTGTTTTATCAACATATTTGATGAGACTTTGCTGCCGCTGCTGCTCTGGCTGACATTTTGTGGTTTCTGCGCTGCCTACTTTGTGGCTTTTGGGCGTTAATCATACGCCCCGTTGTCGCTGTCGTGGCCAACATTCTGTTTTATTCTATGCCAGCCATGTGGCTAGTTTTTTGTGCCCCCGAAAAATGTTTACAACTAATGAAATTAAATGGTATGACATTTAGCTGGTACTTTGGAAGTTTGACACTTCTAAAAATAGGAAAAAAATAATATTTCTTTGCGCATTAAGTCCTTTTCACAGATGTGAATTATTAAACCATTTCTGTTCCAATTTGTTAGCTTATAATATTTTTTTAATACAAAACTAGCATTTAAAAATATCCCCTTTAAAGTATAAACCCATATCTGTTTGCAATGTGTATTGAACCTTCCTTTTTTCAAGATTTTTTTCATTTTGCACACACTAGCCATAATTAAACTGAATTGGACGCAGCTGCTGCTTTTGAATACGCTTCGCAAGGACTCACCTCCCACGTCCTGTTTTATGTTTGCAATCCGTTGCAAAAGGCGTGAGTTTGTGTAGGCGCCAAGTGGACTGTTCCAGGCGAAAGGCAAATAACCCCGACAAAGTCATGTTGATTAAATTTTTTGCCACTTGTTCTTGTTTATCCGAAGTTGGTTTTTGCTGCTACACTAATAAAATATGTGGCACTACTATTGCTGTTCCACCAGGTTACAGGAATGGGTCAAATTTATATATAGTAATTGTGCATGTGTGCGGGGGGAAAAAGTAGATCTGTCAGGGACCGAAACTTGCATAATGAGGGGCCAAAGTTGAGATAAACTTAGGTGCGTTCTCCAGAGTAAACAATTTGCCCGGCATTATCGCATTTTGTCCTGAGAATTAACTTATTTGTTGTGTGTCTGCCAGGCAAATTATGGATGTGTTTAGCTTGTGTTTGCTATTTGGTAGAAGGTTGAGGATAGAAGAAGACAGAACTTTTTCAATATAGATTATAAATCAATATTTTTTCCAAACCAGAATGGTATAAATAAATCTGTATAAATTATAAAATCTTTCCAATAGCAAAGGTGTGAGAAGGATTAGACTTTACAGCTCTTCTCCTCATCTAAATATCAGCACTCTAAAAACTTGTTTGCAAAATGAACATTCTAAGTTAATATCAGCATAAAAATATAATGCTGTTATATTTCTACCTTCTTGATTCCTAACATTTCCCCTTCCAAACAGATAATACCTGACCTTTTCAGTCGGCCACCAGAGTTTTTTGGGTGTTTTTCCCCCTCCTCAGGATGTTGGTAATTTGACCAAACTTGTTCGACACTCCCAGACACTCAAAGCTGTGGCCTTGGAGACTACAGTGCGGCTACGTGATGCCGGAAGCAGTAAACGAATGTAATTTTCGGTTTGTTGTTTTGCATAGAAATGGCAGGAGTCGATTGTTGTCTCGGCCTGCTTTGTTTATATTTTTGCACTCATCCCAAATCTTTCAGTTGCTTCAGGGCAGATTTGCTTTTTTTTTTACCACTAATTTGCCTTTTCCGCCACTTTTTTGTCACACCTGCTGTTAGGCCTTAACGTACAATGACTTTAAATTTGATTAAAAAAAACTGTCTTTAAGGAATTTGCAAAGCTTTTTCATTGATTGATTGGCTGCTGTCTGGTGTCTCGCTGGTTTTTTTGGGGGGTTAAGGGAATTCGGGTCAGGACTCCGGATATTACAAAGGAATTCGCACAAGGTGGGTGACAAAAAAAATGTACAAAGTGTTGGTCCCTTTGGGGCTTAACTTTGGTGTTGGGAGTTCATATTTATTGCTGGTAAAAAAGAGGGTCGCTGGATTATGCCCACAATTTGTTTGTCCCGTTTTTTTGGGTCAGCGCTAACCACAATGCTAATATCTTT